AGCATTGATCTCGATATCCACCGCATCCGTCTTGTGTTTACATTACCGCCCAGAGACAGTACACTGCAGTACAAAAGATGTGTACACTTCTGAAATAACTTTCCTTGCATTACATCCTTGTGCGATGTGATGTCGTTAAAACCCGGAACTCTGTTTACCTTTTAAATCAAATCTAATATTCTATATTTTTTCAATTTACATGATTTGCAAGAAAAACAAGCTTTTCTATTTTTAGGTAATATTTTTGTTTAATTTTCAGAATTTTTCTTACTTTTTATGAAAAAGCTCTTGACTATCTTCAGGTGCGAAAGGGTTGCATTTTTATTTATAAAAAATAGCTGAACTTTTTCAAGGTACCCTGTATTTGAATATTCCAAGTGAACTGGAGTATATGAACTGTGGAAAATGTAATATTTAGAACAATATTGAAGATATATCTGATAAAGAGTGAGAATTATATTATTAGACATTTATCATGCACACTCTGGAGTCATTCATTTCTAATTAAATATAAGGATCGTATTTTACTGTTCTTTAAAACGAACTGATCGTTTCGTCAAGGACGTAGAAAACACAAAAATGAAAAATTAAACTAAAGGAAATGAGGAAGGGGGATGGTTTATCAGGATTAAACTAAAGGAAATGTTACCATTATCTTAAGTTAAAAGTAAATCGTTAGTGTCTGGAACGATTAATAATAGCTACGCGAAAATTACATCTAAATTCTCTTAAGATAGAAAATAGTTTCGTTAAAAATGTTATTACTACAATATACATATGTTATTCTCATCAATTTAACATAAATTATTCAAATCTAATCATTATCATCCGCCCCACCCCCCTGGCCCACAGCGGACAAAGACAAGAACTATAGCTTGTCTTATATTAATACAAATTTTACCATTTTCTTCTCCAAGAGCTGAAAGCTTGAAAGAAAAAATTCGCTCACGAAACAAGTTTTAACGCAAAAATAAAAATTGGTAAATTTTTATCTTTTATCTCAAAGTTTTCTTAAAATAATTGTCTCAATTTCTTATTATAGTTAACGGGAAAATAAAATCTAAAAGAAAAAAATGTATTTAGAGTTAGGAGTATAGAAAAAGGAGAGGTTGAACTTTTCTGTTTAAAGGAAGTGTTCGCAAAAAATGAAAAGGGGTACCGACTACATCCAAATTTAATCTGGAATCGATCTTTCTAAAGAATAAACGGATTTTGCGAGGAATAATGGGGAGATAAAACAACAACTGCCAATAAACAATACTCAGAAAAATAAATATTATAAAAATGTAAAAAAAAACACTTTGTTTTAGTTCCTGTATGCTTAATTTTAAGTGACCCTTCTTTCAATACCCAATTTGCACCGGTTATAGCTGTGTCTGATCAAGTATAAATTAGATACAAATTTTAATTTCTTTCAACGTTTATTTTCATTCGCGGTTACTCTGCGAAAGTGACTTGCGCAGTTTTGATAATAATAAGCGATACAGAAGAAAAACACTTTTCGAGTCAAAAAACCAAAGGAATCTTCTACATTTCTGGTCAGAAGGTCAAATAAAATTACGCTTACAGTCCATTTTAACTTTTAAAATGTTGGATTCGACAATTGTTTTTTTTAGAGTTTTGAGGACCATGCATTCGTTAATCTGGGATCTGCAGTGTTTGCCAGGTTGAAGCCAGAATTAGGAACAGTCCCATCAAATTCAGGTAAGAAAAGTTTGTATGGTATTTGAAAGGATTAAATTATTTTATAAGAACGTTTATTTAAGGACTAGACTAGTCAACAAAATGACATGTACTCTATGTGCTTTATTGTTTTATTTCAAAAATACCATGTACAATTCATTTATGTCTAGTAAACAAATAGCATGTACTGTATTGTATTGTTTATGTCTAGACAACAAATAGCGTGTACTGTATTTTATGGTTTATGTCTAGACAACAAATAGCGTGTACTGTATTGTATGGTTTATGTCTAGACAACAAATAGCGTGTACTGTATTGTATGGTTTATGTCTAGACAACAAATAGCGTGTACTGTATTGTATTGTTTATGTCTAGACAATAAATAGCGTGTACTGTATTGTATTGTTTATGTCTAGATAACAAAATCTACAAATTGTACAACCCCTTTTTCAAGGAACGGTATGGAAACGTTCTTGACTAAGAACGGAACGTCTTGGGAGTCTTGGCTAAGAACGTAACGTCTTGGCTAAGAACACCAAGAACGGAATGGAATGGATGGAATTTTCTTCGACTAAGAACACCAAGACTAAGTCCAGGGGTTCCTAAGTTATGATCGGACAAACAAACAAACAGACAGCTGCATCCAAACAAAGATCATAACTTTATCAATATAGATGATGTAGAACTAAGAATCCATCATCAATTAATTATTTTTAATTACAATTAAGATTAATTCCGAGTCTAGGCTTAGGGAGGAATTTCCAGATATAATAAAGGGACTGTAAAACGTTATTTCAAATGACCTTCCATGCTAAGAGGGCAATGTCCGATTTACAACAGTTTACTTGAACCCTTAAAGGGAGTGTTTGCGAAAAATGAAAGGGGGTATAGGCATTTTTTATCGCATTAAGCCTATACCCCCTTTCATTTTTCGCGAACACTCCCTTTAATCTAATCAAAAACGTGGAAGAAACCATGAAGAAACCGTCGTTTTTACTGCTCGAAAAAAGTTCAATTCTAATAATTTCTCAGTTCCTTCTATAGGAGCAAGAAATGCACACAAGTCAATTTCGCAGACAACCCGCAAATTGAAAAAAGTTTAAAGAAATAAAAACATGGATAACTAATTCACACTTGATAATACAAATCTTTTAAGGGTACCGATGTGAATCGGGTCACTTGAAAATACGCTTACAGTCCCTTTAATAAAAGTTATATATCCACATCCGAGTTCTATGGCTGCTCTAAATATTTAATGAATTTGTTTTACGTACGTACATGATAGTAAATCATGTTATTGCACGTTGTATGTACAGTATAGGATGTATGTGTAGTATATCAGTATAATGTTTACTGTTTTTAAAGAATTTTTAAATAATCTATTAAACGATTTTGAAGATAAAGAAACGAGTTTCAAGTTGCAGGAACTATTTTTACTTATATTCCGAACAGTCGTCTGAAGTCTCTGTTTGTTGGTAACCCTGTTGTTATTATGCAGTTATAGATATTTAAAGTTAAGTGTAAAACGTAATTATATTATATTAAGTAATTGTTCACATTTTGGTCTATGTATATAACAGGTTTTTACATTTTATATGGTACATGTTTATGAACATCGATTCTTTTCGACGGATTCGCATATAGATAATACTTCATAATAATTTTTATTTGTTTTATATACAATGGACTTAAAACGCCGATTTTTTGTCCGCTAGGTGTCTCTGCAACGTGGAACCATATGCAGAAACATCGAGAGCAGAGACACCTGGCGGCGAATTAATCGTCGTTTAAATTGCATCATAAAAACAAAACAAATAAAGAATATTATGAAATAGCATCTATATAAGAATGCGTCGAAAAAATTTCGATGATTACAGGTTGTAATATATGAATGATTTGTTATGATTTTAATTAAATTTTTAACGATATGAGTTGAATATTACAACTTTCTGAATTTGAATGGATGCTAGGTTCTTCGGTACGAGTCGTTCTTAACAATTTTACCCTTATAGACGTAAATAGATAGAAGTAAGATGAGAAGCAATCACCATCGAATATTTTTCAGCGTATACCCCCTTTCATTTTTGCCGCATATTTATAGGACATGTTTAGAGAAATTTTTAGCGTACATATTAAGCCTACATGTTTAGCGCACTAAGCGTACTTATCTATTGTACATGTTTTGTGCACATGTTTATTGTACATTTAGTGTACATATTGATTGTACATGTTTAGTGTACATATTTACTGTATATATTTATTGTACATGTTTAGTGTACATATTGATTGTACATATTTATTGTAAATGTTTAGTGTACATATTTATTGTAAATGTTTAGTGTACATGTTCGTGGCTGTAATGGGTAGATCTAGAGTAAGCCCAGAAGATACACATTCACAGGAAACTTATATGTTTAACTTTAAAGGGATTGTAGGCGTAACTTCAAGGGAATTCCACTATATTAAAGTGTCATGTCTGATTCACACTGGTACCCTTGACACTTATTTTTGAGAAAGCATGAGGCAGATATTGTAGTTTTTCTATCTTTAAACACGTTTAATCAAGAAAATTTCATTCCTCTGCTGAATAAAAGCACAATTGTCTGTTATGAAAAACCGCGGCTGAAAATTATAATCAATTTTAAAACAGAAAACTTCATCATTTTATACTCTTATGAATGTATCAAAGGAACCGCTGAGAATTGGGTCACTTGAAGTTATGTCTAGAAAACTTGTTAGTTGATGACATTTTCTATTTCTCACAAATTAGGTATATAGCTCATTTTATCAAGGTTCGTTCCAGTCAAGAAAAGCTACTTTTATTTGTGGCAATACAAACAAAACTTTGAGGTTAACAAAAAACGCTTGAAAATTAATTTTAAACGAAATTTTTAAAATCTGAAAATGAAATAAAATAGTTATACAATCTTGAAGGTCGTCTTAGATATTTAAAACTATTTGCAGTATTCGTTTGGCAACTTACTTTTATATGTATGGTTCTTGAACCATTAATCTAAAAACTATCCTACTTCTAGTCCTTCAAATCGTACTGCTAATGTCATGTTTCGTGGGACACTCTGAATTTAAAAGAAGTTGGAACTGTTTCAAATTTCTGTGTTTTTTTACATAGATTAATAACAATAAAGATAGAACACTAGTGTTTTTTCGTTTACAATTGAACACTGAGACAGACTTTCAGTGGGTTTTATACTATTTTACGTAAATCTCAGTATTTGCGAAAATAAATAAATAGCCATGAATATTCGGGAACAGTTTTAAAGAGCTCCATCTAATCATTTAATTAAAAACTAAATATCTGCAACATTCCATTATCAGAAAGTGAAGAATACAACATTTGATGAATTCTTTCGATGTATTGCTTATTTAGAGTTTATCTGTATATTTCTAGCAAAGGATATTAAATTACTCTTGTTTGAAAATTTTCAGAAAATAAAATATAAAATGCTTTTGTTTGTTGCTACAGGGTGTCCCACGAAAAAAAAGACAGTTGGTGAATAGTTTTGAATGTCTTCTTCCATATTAACTGATATTAACGACTTTTTTTCAGTGGATTTCATTAAATAAAATCTTTTATTTTAACATATTTTACTTTGAAATAAATTTTATGCCAGCCATGTGATATTTTTTATTATTCCCTTTGGTATCAAAGAACTTAAAAATTTATGGAAGAAGACATTTAAAACTACTCACCAGTTGTCATGTTTCGTGGGACACCCTGTATTTCTGGCAACATTGAAGGGAGCTGCAAACTGGATGTGACAGCAGTCGCAACAAATATCATTCTGCTAACTTAAACTAATATAGTACACACTAGTATACTGTACACACTAGTATACTGTACACACTAGTATACTGTACACACTAGTATACTGTACACACTAGTATACTGAGACCGAAATTTAAAAGAATATCGCTGAACGAAAATCTCGAGTTTTCTTTTTGGGGTCTTAACATTTTGTAGATTTTGATTTAAAAGATTCGACAAAAAATGGAGAACATGAAGAAATTAAATAAAAAATTTCATAACAAAAATATTGATATCCACAAAACTGCTCAACCCCATTCATAAAACCTGAGTTTTAAAACTGGCTTTGATAGCGATACCCTGTCTTAAGTTTTGGGCTCTGTACACACTACACAAGTTGTGTACATTTGGGGGATATATAATGGAGTTCCTTGATAAAAATTACATTTGATTGCCCTTATTTTGAATTTGGATAGAAGCACAAAGTATGAAAATTTGTTATCCAAGTTGCCAAGTTTTGTGTTTTGACAAATAAATGTATAAAACTTGCATGAAAAGAAATAAAAAAGTTTTATTTTATCCTGGGCTGAAATACTTGTTTTCAAGGATTACTTAATATTTCATGCTCCAAACAAATATTCTCCTTGAATACTCTAAAATCTGCATTCATCTAAAAGGAATGTTTTTAAAAAAAATAAAAAAAATTCCAAATTTTGGAATTTGGAATACAGCTAGCCCAAACTTTTCCCCAAAAATGTCCTTAAAGATCCGGTAATCGCCAAAAATGTTCTCTGAAAAAAAGTTTTTGGAAATAAAGTTTTTATTTTTTTTCAGCTATCTACATTATGAATATATAGGAATATGATTGAAATTCTTCTTTAATTGATTTTCACACAACTACCCTTCAACTCCAGTCCATTAAGGCTGCAGCATAAACAATAAATATTTTAGTTATTTTTGTTTTAAAAGTTTTTTTTTTCAGCTGAATGTTATTGTTTTCAACTTTTCATTCCTCATACTTTAGCTAAATCTCCTAGGCTTAAATGGGATTGTTGAAACCTTTGTTTAAATTATAAAGATTTTTCTAGCTCAAAGTTTTAAATTTTTAATTCTGGTTTCTTCATGAAAATTAATTGCGGGTTAAAGCTTCAGTGACAATGAAGGAGGTTGTAAGAATGTTACAATTTCAAGACTTTGAAGGGTCGCAATGCTTTGGCCTTTGATTTTACCTCAACAACTTTTTTACTTTTTTTTAGCCCTAAACATGTACATTTCAGAACTCTACAGAGATCATTTAGTTTTAGTCTCTTAATTGCTTAAGTTAGTTTTTTTGAGTTGAAATTTTAATAATATAAGTCTCTTCCGCTAGTTTTGACGAATTTTGAATGGAAGATTAAAATATGACTGTAAATAATATGATATCAGTAAAACCCTAAATAAGCAATATATCGAAAGAACTTATCAAATGTCGTCTTGACAATTTTTCAATGGGTTTTATACTATTTACGTAAATCTTGCAGTATTTGCAAATATAAATAAATATCAATGAATATGCGGGAGCAGTTTTAAAGAGCTCCATATAATCAATTAATTAAGAACTAAATATCTGCAACATTCCATTATCAGAAAGTGAAGAATACGACATTTGATGAATTCTTTCGATGTATGGCTTATTTAGGGTTTAACTGTATGAAGGTGTAGTTAGTTCCAGCAACATATGTATATGTAAAGTATAAGTTTCCTTCAGAGTCCTTCATCTATGAATTGCAGCCCCTCTTCTACAGGAGAACAGTCCGATACTAATTGTAGTATTAGTTCAAGCATTCAAACCCACCTTCCTCCCAGAACTATTAAAATAAGGTATTTAAAGGGATTGCTCATATATTTTAAAATTAGGAATAATTAAAGGGATTGTTCACATATTTTAAAATTAGGAAAAATTAAAGGGATTGTTCACAATTTTAAATTTAGGTATTTAAAGGGATTGTTCACATATTTTAAAATTAGGAAGAATTAAAGGAATTGTTCACATATTTTAAAATTAGGAATAACTAAAGGGATTGTTCATATATTTTAAAATTAGGAATAATTAAAGGGATTGTTCACATATTTTAAAATTAGGAAAAATTAAAGGGATTGTTCACATATTTTAAAATTAGGAAGAATTAAAGGAATTGTTCACATATTTTAAAATTAGGAATAATCAAAAGGGATTGTTCACATATTTTAAATTTAGGTATTTAAAGGGATTGTTCACATATTTTAAAATTAGGAAGAATTAAAGGAATTGTTCACATATTCTAAATTTTAGTATTTAAAGGGATTGTTTACATATTTTAAAATAAGGTATTAAAGGGATTGTTCACATATCTTAAATTTAGGTATTTAAAGGGATTGTTCACATATTTTAAAATTAGGAATAATTAAAGGGATTGTTCACATATTTTAAATTTTAGTATTTAAAGGGATTGTTTACATATTTTAAAATAAGGTATTAAAGGGATTGTTCACATATCTTAAATTTAGGTATTTAAAGGGATTGTTCACATATTTTAAAATTAGGAATAATTAAAGGGATTGTTAACATATTTTAAATTTAGGTGTTTAAAGGGATTGTTCATATATTTTAAATTTAGGTATTTAAAGGGATTGTTCACATATTTTAAAATTAGGTATTTAAAGGGATTATTCACATATTTTAAAATTAGGTATTTAAAGGGATTGCTCACATATTTTAAAATTAGGAATAATTAGAGGGATTGTTCACATATTTTAAATTTAGGTATTTAAAGGGATTGTTCACACATTTTAAAATAAGGTATTTAAAGGGATTGTTCACATGTTTTAAAATTAGGTATAATTAAAGGGATTGTTCACATATTTTAAAATTAGGTATAATAAGGATTGTTCACATATTTTAAAATTAGGAATAATTAAAGGGATTATTCACATATTTTAAAATAAGGTATTTAAAGGAATTGCTCACATATTTTAAAATTAGGTATTTAATGGGATTGTTCGCATATTTTAAAATTTAGGTATTTAAAGGGATTGTTCACATATTTTAAAATTAGGTATTTAAAGGAATTGTTCATATATCTTAAAATTTAGGTATTTAAAGGGATTGTTCACATATTGTAAATTTAGGTATTTAAAGGGATTGTTCACATATTTTAAAATAAGGTATTTAAAGGGATTGTTCACATATTTTAAATTTTAGTATTTAAAGGGATTATTCACATATTTTTGAGTAAGGTATTTAGAGGAATTGTTTACATATTTAAATTTTCTTTAGTTTTTCCCGAACAATTATTTTGCAAAAAAAGGTTCTCGAAAAACTGCTAAAAAACTGATATAAGCAAAATTTCGCGAAAAAAGAAAATTTTCGCGAAACGATTTACTATTTCTGTGGAAACTCTAGTGTATTTTCATTTGAGTGAACCAACATATTGCAAACCTTTAAAAGGAAAATTTAGGCAAAATTAAAGTTTTCAATTTTGACATTTGTTCAATAACTATTCTGCTGTTAAACTTTTTAAATTTAATGTTTCTTTTATTTTTCCTGATTAAAGTACGACAAATGGACTTAGTATTACTTCATATTAGTTATAAAAATTTAATTTTGTCTCTACGAACTTTTTAAAGATATACAATTTACATATTTACAATAAAATAAAACAATTTTTTATAACGTACGACGGTGGAATTTCCTAGCTTATAACAAAATAGAAACAGATCATGTCTTGATATTTCTATCCCATGTTTCTGTAAAATGTAAAACATTGTGCTGCCTTACAGAGAGTAAACTTTAATGGGAGTGTTCGCGAGCTATGCGTGGAATATAAGATAAGCCCGAATTGAATTTGGAATTGAATGGAGTCAGCATTTTTTTCATGTTATGTCTGAGTAATGGGAAATTTTTAAATTACAGCGCGGAAACACCTGGAAGCTCCCTGATTTTCTTTTAGTTATGTTCATTTTTCTTTTGCGAACACTCTCTTTGAATATAAATATAAATTGTTACATTTTATGCGCATAAACTTTTTAATTTTACAATCTTCAAAATATCAAAATAATAAACAAGCTTTTTTATTAGATTTCTGGATGATTTAAGTCCTTCTGAACAAGAGAAATACCAGGTTGAACAGCTGAAGAAGCAGGTAGAGAAGAGAGCTGCTCTAGCTTCCTCAGACCAAGCACTTGATCGGCCTCCTCAATCTGACCGGCCTCCCCAAACCGCTCCATCTGATGCTGCGCAGACGAGACACGTTCCATCGGAAACCAGGTTGAGTTTTCCTCGCAAAATTACATGTTTTTACTCCCCCCCCCCTGGGGTTCGGTCCTAATGCTCTGATTTAACATTAGGATGCAAAGAAAAAGAGGAAGGAACAGATATTGTAATTTGTAACCAGTATGAGCTCAAGCTCGGAACCGGGATAGTTCCATTGATGTAACCCCTTCAGTTCTCATACGAACCCAGAGCTAAGCTCAGATTGCAAGTAGTCCGGCCTATAAACATGAAAGCTTATTAGCATAGCTCTTTGATATATAGCTATAGGTCAGACAGAAATTGGGGCAGATGATAAGTTGCCTCGTGTGTAATGTATTGAGATAGTTATCCGTTAAAAGATGCCATCCAAAAACAATGCTTTCAACGCGTGTAATGCTTTCAACGCGTGGAAAACCCAGCCGCAGTTTAACTCTCTAATCAAAGCTCAGGCCAAATCAAATTTAAATTTCCAAACATTCTTCATTTTTATCATACAGGAATATTCCTTAAGGAGCTGAACTCTTTAAAACTGAGAAAATTCTTGAAAGTCGTCTTTGAATTTTGAAATAGTTTGCGGCATTTGAAATGATTTCGCCAAGTTTGGTACTATTTACTATATTAAAATCTAAACAAAATTTTTAATATCTTTGGTAGTTTTGAAAGCACAAAACTGGCAGACCGCATTTTCTTAAAAAAGATTGCCAAATGAATGCCGCAAATTATTTCTAAGGTCAAAGTCGACTTTAAAGTTCCGCTTCTCTGAGAATACAGGATTTTCCTTCTTGAAATTACTTGAACTTTTTTTACAGGGTGACAGAGAATCCGTTAGCAAATCAAGTAGAACAACAAACTCCGAACCAAGTTCCTTATCAAGGAGGACAAAAAACTCAAAACCAGGTTCCATTTCAAGGAGGAACCCAGGTTCCATATCAAGGGGGAATCAACCTTTCTAATACAACAACTGGTCAATTTAATCCCAATTCAGAAACTAGTGTGGATCATGTTGTTACTAGAAGCAGTAACTATTCTCAAAGAGACTCCGCGCACAATAATCAATCTGTAAATCATGCTGGACATGATCGGACAAATCAACCAAGACAATATTCAGTTTACCCCAGCAGTGCTCACAAGGACCTGGAGAGGGTGGAAGGAGTGCCTACTGATCGTAATCATGATACTAACTATGCTAGTCATCACAGCTTACTTAGAAGACATCAGCTTGCACATGACAAAAATCAATGGTAAGGACTCATTTTGACTTATTAGGTTTAACAATATCTGGGTTAGGATAAGCCAGGCGGCCGAGTGCTGCGGCGAGAACATGCTAAGGGCTGAGCGCTGCGGCAAGGACAGACTTGGAAGTTGCCGCTTGGGAATTTTCACATTTGTTACCACTGGGGTTGCGAAGTTGCCAATTGGGAAAATGCCTTTAAGAAAGTACCTAATATCAGCGTATGTTCTTCCAAAACAGCTTATTATAAATTATATTTTGTTTCAATTAAATTAGGTTTCTCTTTCAGAAGCTATAAAACTGTGGAAAAGGAAGAAGACTGTTTATTATGTATCCAACCAATGTATCAAAAAGAAATGGTTTCAAAAAAAAGAATTAAAAAGCGTAAAAATGATGCATAAAGGAACTGAACACTTGCCATTAACTCTTATGTTCTAATCAATTTCTTAACAATTTCATCTATCTCTAAATTAAGAAACCAAAAAATCGCTTAATCGGCCGGCAGCTATCCATCTTTTGCTACCGAATAAGGGATTTTTTTCTTTTTTTATGAATTCTGCAAATTACAATATTTGAAAGGTTTAAAGAATTTTAAAATCATTTTCCATTAAAGTTTTCTTCTGTTAGATTCTGAATAAGGTTTTCTGTGACAGATAATTTATGGGAAAACCACACAAACCCATCTTTAGATATATTTATCTATAACTTAAACTATTGGTTATTAATGACCTTAAAAAGTGTTTCTGCGAACTAAAGATGCATTGAAACGTTAAGCCATTACACGAATGCCTTTTTTAGTCTAGTTTACCCCCCCCCCAAGCCTTTATAGGGTTAATGAAAAGTGTTCAAATCAGACGATTTCTCATTTGTTTCAAAAGCAAGAAATGCACAAGTCAACAATTTTGCCCGTTTTAAAGCGAAGTATGCGTTCATTAACAATCTACATACAGTGGGTAGGCGATTATATCAATACAATGAAGACAACTTTCGATTTCAATTTTGATTAATATCAAGCTTTTTAACAGATGGATACACATAAACATGAAAACAAAGAGAAGATATAGATTAAAAAGTTTCTCTTTAATTACTTGTAAACTTGTAATTCGAAAAAAGCTTGAAAACAATCAAAACTTTTTTAAAAAGCCGTTTTCATTGTATTAAAATAATCTCGTTTAGGGAATTTTCCATTATTTTTCTGAAAACTTTCGTTAAGGGAATGTTGTCTAGGCCTAGTTGAGAACTTGCGTCAAGGCTGTAAAATAAGCATGATTTCTCTCGATGCGCTCCAATATACGGGAAATGTCGTCTCCAAAGATAGATAGATAAAACCCCCATTTGACGTCACTGTTTATAGAGGCGAGAGCGACGTCATATGAGTTTTTTATCTATCTATCTTAGGAGACGACATTTTCCGTACATTAGAGTGCATCGAGAGTAACCAACCTTATAAAACAACCTTGAGGTGAGTCCTGTTAAATGAATTATACCGCTGTGTAATGCGCTTGGAATCCTAGTGGGGAGATAACTTGACTCTGCTGGGAGAATACATAAATACTTCCCTTCCATTCATATCACACAGGGTGTCATATAAACATGGGAATCAAGAGACTACTTTAAATCTTGATATTTGATAAATGACAAATCAAAAAACTAATTTACGTTTAAAGCGTTCAATAAGATGTGTTTTTAAAGGAATCTTAGCTTATCCATGTCTCCGTCAATTTTCATAAGATCGAGTGACATATCCGATTCCCGACGGTTTCTTTTCAACCTTTATCTGAAAAACGATGATAAAGATAAGGTTGTTTTGACTTGAAAAGTGTTGTATACATGAGGACGTGTCTCTTGTCAGAGAAAACAATTTAATATGGGACTCTCTGTATTAACTTTAGATGAAAGCTAAAGCCAAAAACATTTAATTTTTTCCTAGGAACAAATGATGATCTGACTCAATGTGAAATTGAAAATGAAAGTTCAAAACATAAATTTTTTTCTGAACACGAGCTAAATAAAATTAACTTCCAACAAATTCGCACACCATGATATTCAAACTATGAATTCTCTAAAATCCAAAAGTTTAAGTTTTAAATATGTTTAACAGGTTTAGATTATCTGGTTGTAAAGATGCAAATTAGAGTTTGTGGTGAGTATTCAGTTCCTTTAAACTAAAAACCTTTTGATAAAAATAAAGTTGTAAAAACAACATCATGGCGCCAAGTTCTATTGATGCATAATGGGTTGCTATCGTTAAAATTAATAAATAAAACTGATTTGTTAGGTTAGTTCCGTCTGAAAATAATATTATATTGTTCAGGTATTATAGAAACGGTACAGATATTACAACTACGAAGGAGATTAGAGAACAGCTAGGGTAACTTTTTTTTTACTAATTACGCGTATTTTTTGTTTGAAAAAATGTTTTTTTTTACAATCGAAGTAATACAGTGTATACAAGATCGAACCAAGTAACAAGTCCACTTAAAGGTCGTCTTTGATCTCTGAAATTGTTTAAGACATTTATTCGTAAACCTAATTCAACATGCATTATTCTTTAAACTTAATTACGAAATCTCCTAGTCCCGGCATTTCCAAAATGTGGTCTGCATTTTGTTGCTTTCAATATTACCGGACATGTATAGCGTCCCATATCATATTAGACTCGCTCCTAGCTGTAAGGCTAAACGCACATAATACTCGTAAAACCTAGTATTTTCTGTATTCTTTATATTAGCAATATTACAATTTTCTTAAAATGATTCGTTCGTTTAAAATTTTCTGATTACTCCCGGAAATCGGAATTTAAAGCAATAAACGGATATGTGGGACACTCTGTTCAAAGCCTATCTTCAAATCGGAAATATTGAAATACAAAAAAGGAGACAACAATAAGGAAATCCCAAAACTAGGATAATTGTTTTAATATTATTCTTAACTCTAGAATTTTACTTCTAAAATTAGATTGACAAATATATGTCGCAAATTATTTTGCGGATCACAGGCGACCTTCAAGTCATCTGTCACTCTGAACATTACTTGAGGCATAAAGCTTAAGACACTTTTTTATTTTAAATAGAAAAATAGAATAGAAATTTGTTGCAATATAATTGAAGAAAAAGGCAGATTACATTTTGAAAATGCCAAGATTTCAAAGAAAGTTTTGTGATTATTGTTCCTTAAGAACTATTCCTTGACCAATGATTGCTGCAAATTATTTTAATGAAAAAAGACGATCTTTAACTCAATTTCAGTCGCATTTATTTTGATCTGGTTGAAATGACGATTAACCTCTTTAACCTTATAAGTTTTGGTGCTAGGGAGGGTTGAACAAATGCCAAAAAAAGAGTAAAAAATGTAAAAACTATCAAGGTGTGAGATTCACATCATGTGACACATGTTTCTCCATCCATTTTTCAAGGGCTTTACAAAAATATAGTTTTTAGATCTGTAGCTTTAGTCAAGAAAAGTGATGGGATATTTTAGATTTATTTTTTTTATACGGACCAGACTTTTTACCGCCCTGTTAAAATACTCTTTACAATTTTAACATTTAAAATCAGTCCCTATGCATTAAAATACTCTTTACAATATTAACATTTAAAATCAGTCCCTATATGCATTAAAGCACTCTTTACAATTTTAACATTTAAAATCAATCCTTATTTCAAAGAACAATAGTTTTCAATTGAAAAGAAATCACTGAAAGCCAAAGTACAGTTCAGTGATAACCAGAAAAATGTAAAATAAGAAGACGACATTAATTCAATACTTATGTTTATTTTATGTTGTTAAAAGCAAATAGCTTTATAAAAAGTAAGTTTTAAATCATTAATTAAGTGAAAATGTTCTCTTTTAACTTCAAGGTTGGCGTGCCTCATGTTCATTGGACTGTTTAAAGTAATTTCTCTAATCTAAAAGTCGACTTTCTATTCCCGAGTTTTCTGGCTATCACTGTATGATAAGAAATACTGTTCACTGCTTTTGATTACTTTATAAATCAATAAACTCAATGAAAAATAAGAGGGAAATGGGATGTATTAGTATTTGAAAAAGTTAAAAAAAATATCCCAATTTTAATGCAAATAATAAAAAGAAAACAATTGTTTTGCATATCCTTTCTAACATTCTTTTGGCACATTTTACCTAAGCAAACACTGTGATGGTTTTATTATAACCATAAATAATTGGTACCTTCTTCCTTCTACATACCTGATCAGTTCCTTCAATTCAAGATATAAGAAATATTAAATTCTCCTCTGGTTTAAAATGAATATCTTTGAACGATTATTTATTTGGAGAAATAACGTTCAAATAATTTGAAATTCATGCCTTCTATTCTCCATGGTGTCTGGATATTAGGGGTTTAAACTTTTCTGGATTTTTTTTTTCCAGAGATTTCTTTTGAATACTTTCCGGAATCGGAACTATCAGTATTATTACTATTGTATTTTGATTTCCGGATAAGTTCCGTACTACGTAGCGCAAATTTTTTTTAAAATCTATCTGAGCTGGCAACTTTAACGCTTTATCTTGATATCCAATATATGGGCACTGCATTCACAACATAAAAGTTTTGACTTTTGGAAAGAGGTTGAGTCTTCGCCACAAACTTTGTTTTTGTAATCCCTAAATCATTGCTACCGAATGTCGTGATCTTAGATATTTCAAACTATGATTTCTGTAAGATCAAGTAAACTAAGTTCGAAATATTAAAGTTTAACACCGTTAGGTTGCAAAGGTAAAGGGATCAGAAAATTTGAGTTTTAGGCATGGACTAAAATCATAAAAATCTGTTTATTAGGAGAAGTGAATACAATTCTGGATACGGTTTGGAGAATCCTGTTTTCCGAACTGATGGCCCAGATGACAGGTAAGATTCAGTGTGTAGAAATGGGCTCAAAATCTGAATTGTTTTTTAATTTTTTAGTGCCATAATCGATTCCCTATGAGTTATTTGAACTGAGAATGCTGTAGAGAAAAACTTTAGGATTCATTTCAAACCAATTAGACATTTTGGAAACTATGTTCATAAACAGAAAATTGACTTAATTTATTTACATGTTTTATTATTAAATAATTGTAAAAAACGTTTAAAATATTACAAACGGCTTTACGCTCTTATTTGAAAAATTGTACTATAGACTTGAAAAAGCCAAGATTAAGTGAAATAACGAATCATAAACGCAAACTATATAATTACATTTTAACAATGCAAACGGTTAGTGTTGAATTAATTAAGATTGATCTAAATAACACGACATTCGCCTGTGGCGAATATATTTCCGTTCGACCCTTCTGATTCAGTTTTTGATAAGACCTGGCTTGGTCTGGGGTATAAGATGACCGATGAAATGAAACAACTAAATCCTAAAGGGACCGTTCACTTATTTGGGTAATTTGATGGTCTGTGGCCTGAGAAAAAGTCGATTTATAATTCAGAATTCCACCTTCATATTTACACTATTCGATGCGTTTTGTCATTGTCAAGGATTTTAGAAAATTTTCAAATACTAAATTTAATTGTATAGTATCATAATAGTCAATTGTATCAAATCAAATCAAATCATTTTTAAATTGTCTATTTTCAAAATATAACTTATTTTAAACATTTAACGGTTTGATACACGTTTTCCCTACTTCCCCAAGAATCCCCGTGATTTAATGAAAAGTTGTAATCAAAGAACCGGTTTGTCTGAGAGAAAAAAGTCGTCTTTGTATAAAAATGTTAATTTGTTAAATCATGTTTAAACACGAAAAACGTGTTTTAATATCTTATCATATAATACGGACACATAATGTCATGGAAATATGATAATTTAAGATTTTATTGGGCTGCTGTTACTTAAAACATTTCAATAGTGTCTATATGCAAAGGTATCATACCTTTCCGCTGAAATTTTAAACAATAAATCATTTTTTTTCCCCCGGTCATGACTATATTTGAAAAGTAAGACTAATAGATAAAAGGATGATTAGTTTAATTAGTTTACCATGAAATTACCCAAATAAGTGAACGGTCCCTTCAATATCTCTGAAATACGAGAAGTTATGATGTCAACATATAAGGTTTGAATCTTACGTGCAAATTTCTTTAGTTTAACGTGACATTGCTATGCGAAACTATACACTAGAATAATTCTTGAGATTGTTAGTCTCTTAGAATTAGAATGCAGAAGAAAACAATGTGTTTGAAAACTATTTATTTTCGCATAACTCGGAGGATTAAAACTTTGAGAAAATGTTTTAAGTGACACTTCTTGTACAATAACAAGTTAAACTTACTCTTGGAATGTTTTGTTAAACCTTTGACAACTTTGCTTTTCTGTTAGGGTGTTTGTAACCGATAAACGGCAAAATGACTTAAAAATCAATCCCAAATATTTGTGGGATCTCACATGACCCCATGGAAGGTTTATGGATGCTCAGGATTACAAAAATTTGTTTCCAAAAATGTTTGGTTTTTATTTAAATTTTGAAAATCCACGAAAAAATATTGTTAAATCCTTAAATTTTGTTGCTGTTTTTGTGTTTTATTGAAAAAAGAGAAAATGCTCATCACGATAGAGCCACAATTTGAGTTAAAATAGAAGATGGACGCGAAGCGCACTTAAAGCCCAAAGCTAACATGTTTTTTTTAATCAGTCCTACAGTATAAAAACATGTTTGCAAGAAAAGAAACATAAAATCCATAAAATTTTCATCAGAAAAACCCTAAATAAAACTATTCACCTCACAAAGTAATTGCGTTTTTGCCACAAGCTCTCAAATTTTAGTCCATACATCTTGCAATCCTGATGGTTTAAACCTTTAATATTTCAAACTTAGACTATTTGATCTAACAACATTCATAGTTTGAAACATTAACGGTCTACGACATCGGGTTGCAAATATATAGGGGTTAAACATTAGAGTATGTGGCAAAAACTCAGTTTCTTTGTGTCCCAAAAGTTAAGATGGTTAATTCTGTTTTCTTTAGTCCTTCCAAATATCTATACAATGTTGAAATTAAATAAGACTGACCTGGAGCAGTAAATGCACAGGTCGTGGAAAATCATTTATGGCATTTTATTATGACTGTTTTACCCAAGGTTGTATAAAGTTTCCTGCTCTCGATGTTCTCCAATGTACGGAAAATGTTGTCTCATAAGCAAAGATATATGCGGATTTTATATATCTATGCTAATGAAACGACATTTTCCGAAGATTGGATTGCATCAAGAGAAGAAACCATATTATTCAACCTTGGTTTTACCCAGATATGACCGGTGGCGGACGGATCGTGCTGGTGCTGGGAGACATACTGAACATCATACCTGGAGAAGGTTCACTGTTGCCCAGCAAATCAGATATGGGATTATACAGAGCGGAAACCAGGAAACACTCGCAGTATCAGATAGTGTCTTTATCAGGTAATACGGAGAGACCCAAAAAACTGTGGAATAGAAAAATGACTCAATTAGACTTTGTTAAATTCTAAAGAACATGATGTAAATAAATTTTGCAGTGAGCACCACAATAAAAAAGTTTAACTTTAAACTAATACGCACTTATGATTGTCTTCCCATTTTTGTTTGTTCAAATAAAAAGGAGATGGCTTATTTGGCGTACTGTCCCGTTTAGCCTTTTATAGTCTCTGTGTGTACTGTACAGCTTGCTCTAGTTTCTTAAAAGTCGGCCCGGTACATGAAATGAACCGGAGTTTACAGTGAAGGCTACTCTGTAAAAATGTTCCGTGAATGCAATATTACTACATTTATTTATTTCTGGTTTATATAGAACCTTAATGGTGGAGGAATCGATTTATTGTTAAACCAAGACTAAAAATATGAAAGGACAGTTCCTTAAAGATTCCTGGGAACTTAAACTTTTGTGAAAAAAAGCGAACATTTTTGTCCGTAAATTGCAAACTTTTTCGCAAAATGTTGCATTTTTTCGCGAAAATTAATAAAACGAAAAAATGCAAAAACAATGGGGAAAATTTTCTTTCAGGGCCAGCATATTTCAAAACCGTAACTTGAATATCAAGGATGCTTTAAAATCATAATTTCAATCTAACTGCCTTTCCACAACTAGTTTTATGAGTTCCACGGTAGTAGCAGCAGTCGTCTTCCACAACTAGTTTTATAAGTTCCACGGTAGTAACTGCCTGTAGTTCTCTGTCAATAATATATTGTTTAAGATACCAGCAATTAGGTATAAAGAAATAAACGGTAATACAAGTCAACAAGTTTTATTTTTTTCTTTTATTTTGCAGTGGTAGTGAAGGATACATGGCAGGGGTAGATCCTGAAAACTTAGATCTTTCTCAAACACAACATCAGCCTCCAGGGACAATAATAAGAAAATTCTTTAATATTCTTAAAGGACTGCTAACTGTTTTTAATGGGATATAAACTGCATCTCAAAATAGTTCCTCCGTTGATTCGGTCTTGCTTAAAGAGTTCCCATCTGAACTGTTTACTGTGCAATATATATAATGTTAAAATACTATGTAATTAATAATTTTAACTTTTTACTCTTGCTTCTAAATTACTTTTTTTAAAATCAATAAAATGGAACCTTGTCTTGGTTCTGAAGTTTTCAGTTTTGCTTTAAAAGCTAGAGGGTTTTAGCACCCTGTTTTGGAAATTAATGGATAAACAAAAACATGAATAAATGTCGTCGTTAAAAGTGCACTTTTTGTAATCCCCTGCTACAAGCAAACTATCCTCGAATTAATTTAATTCTAGAGTTCAGAGAGTTCAGCTCAGTTGAATTAAATTTCAATTTCCCGGCCCAGGCCAAATTAAATTATTTAAGCAATTTTTCTTCAGCATCTAGAATTTCAATGAGAAATATAAAACTTTGTTTCTGCCAGCTTTTTTTCTATCTATATAAACTTTGTTTGTATGTTTGTTTGTAACCAATAAACGTAAATTAACCGATCCGGCTCAATTTTTTGTTAGGACTCTGCAAGACCCCAGGGAAGGTATATGAATGATCAAAATTAAAAATATTAGCCTCCAACAAAATTCGATTTTTTATAAAATTTTGAAAATCCACGAAATTTTTTTTTATAAATCCGTGAAGTGTTTTTGTTTTGTTTTACAATGTACACAAAGAGAAAATGTTTACACTTGAAATAGATAGATGGGCGCGAAGCGCCCTAAAAGCCTTTTAAAATAAAATTTACTAAGAAACTATTTAACATTTCTTGATATAAACAGCGGAAATGAAACATGTTATTGAACACATAATCTTAAATATGGAAATTCTGAAAATGATTTTTGATTTATTGTCTCAAAAACAGGAGAGGATGAAAACTCGAATTATGATTATTCCAATGTTCCTATGGCCGGGCTTCCTATGATAGGGGCCCTCATGGGTATGTGCCTGGGAGGCCCAATTGGATTCTTGGCAGGGGTCAAAATTGGAGGTCTTGCTGCAGTTGGTGGCTCCATTCTTGGCTATACTGGAGCCAGTGTTGTCAGGTATGTATTTAGTAAGGATTTCAATCATAGATTAATAACAATACAGATAGAACACAATATTTCGTTTTTTTCAACATTTAAGGCAGAAGCCAAAATGAGTTAAGCGCAGGCAGCGTTAGATTACAAGACACAGAGATAGAGCATGCGCGTAACTCCTTTGGGCCTTTACCTCAGGGTTATTGTGAACGAAAAACCCCCAAATTATGAAAAGACGTTAATTAGTGTTCTATCTGTATTGTTATTAATCTATGATTTCATTATTGACATATATATGAATAACATTAATTCAAAAGAAATAAATAAAATGTTCTTGTACCCTTTTAACATTGGATCAAAGAAATAATATTCGTTTTCTGCACTCGAGTTATACAAGTCTGAGTTTTGCGTTTGCAAATAATTCGTTCAGTTTTTAGAAGAAGAAGAAATACTTTCTTACATCAAAATATGATAACTTGTAAATCTACTGCAGAAGCTCATTACGGAAAGGAATTGAGTCTTTACCACAAACTAAAATTTTCTGATCCCTGGATCAGTGCAACAAAATGGTGTTAACCTTTAATATTTCCAACCTAAACTATTAGATCTAACACAATTGATATGTTGAAATATAAAGGTCCACAACATTGGGTTGCAAAGATATAAGAATTAGAAATCAGAATTTGTGGCAAAGACTTAATTCCTTTTAAATAAACTTTATAAATCTCTTTTTTCTTAAACCTACTTTTGATCTGTATTTAGTGAACATAAAGAGTTGCGGGATTACATGGATGAACATTATCAAAACAAACCTGAGCTCTATGTACAATCTCCTCGTGAAGAGGCGCGGCAAAGACGCTTTTCGCGACAGCTGCCGGAAATCCCCCGACCCCTGGGGTCAGCTGCCAGCAAGAATGGTCCTAATGGGTACAGGTAAAACAATATATGTATAACTATTTCAAAACTTAAATTCACTTACAAAGAAGAAAGAAAGAAAATTACATCCAATAAAATGCATATTTTATCATGTAATATTGCAATTCAGTTGCATAAGTAGATACTTTAGCATAACCTACATCGAATATGTCTAAAATATGAAAGAAAGTTATAAAAATAATCAAAATTTGGATTCAGATTTCCTTTCTAAAATACCAATGATATACTGTCCCAGTCTTTTTAACAGTTTTCCCAATTTTTTTTTGACTAGATTTTTGACAAAATTATGATTTTTAGCAATATTTTCTTTAATTATTATGCTTACAGCAAATACCAATATGCTGAAATGAAACAGGATGTATGCTATAATTTTGAATTATCGTAAGCATTAAATCCTAATCAATATTTAGTTGCCTTTTCAGAAACAACTCGTCTGGCATGTTGCAACAACACAACTGGCATATTGCAACTAACATTAAAATGTATTTTTATAGCAATGCGCGGGCTGCCGCAGCACTTTTAAAATGGGACGCTAGTAGAAGGTTAATCCTGTGGCAATATATGTCGTCTTCGCTTTTTTCTTTTATCCCGATTTACATAAAAACCATTTATTTTCGTACTTCAAAACCTATGTAGAATAGGGACTTCTCACAGTTTCAAATGTGATAGTGTAAAACGGTTTGATATTTTTTAGTTTGTGTCAATTTTCGATATGTCACTTTGAAGTTTATCATCACAGCTTGGTTAAAAATCTATATCGAGATTGAAAGTAAAAGAAAAGCGTATCTTTGCTTTCAAATCTATGTTTTGTTGAAATAATGGATCAACATAATTATCACTGTTTATATTTTACCAAATGTTTAATTACAAATTTGTTTACTATGTATTTTGAAGCTCTATCTCTCATATCCAGTAACGCTCTTTTGAAATTTTTAAAAGAAATTCACGAACTCAATCACGCCGTATGAAAAACTTCAAACTGGTAGAACTTTGTAAATATTTCTGCCAAAAAAAATCCTAATTCAGTACGTGTACATCGATCGGAAATCTCTCTACTAGAATAACAGACAACATTTTAAAAGGTTTAATTATTTGTTGAATACTAAATAAACAATGTTTTTCAGGCTAAATTGCCCTTCAGTAAAAACCATTACACATTATCATCATTGCTCCAAAAGTTTAACCGTGAGGAGTCCCTCAGTTCTCTATATTCCCCCTAGAGCCCTGGTTTCTGATATATTAATGTATACAGTCTACAGACTTGAATGCTAAATACCCCCATGCATGCTGGTTTAGTATTCCATTATAGATATTAGGATTCATCATAGACAAGTTCAGGCAAAACAAAATTGATGAAATATTTGAAGTCTTCGATGAAATTTAGGAGTTTGATGAATTTTAGGAATATCCGACGAAATAGAGAAGTCTCCCATGAAATCTAGGAATCTCCAATTAATGAATTCTAAGAATCTCCAATAAATTCCATAAATCTCCAATCAATTCTAAAATTCTCCAATGAATTCTAGGAATATCCAATGAATTTTAGGAATCTGCAATGAATTTTAGGAATCTCTAATCAATTCTAAACATCTCCAATAAATTCTAGTAATCTCCAATGAATTCTTGGAGCCTCCGATGAATTCTAGAAAACTTCAATGAATTCTAGAAATCTCCAATTAATGAATTCTAAGAATCTCCAATGAATTCCATAAATCTCCAATCAATTCTAAAATTCTCCAATGAATTCTAGGAATATCCAATGAATTTTAGGGATCTGCAATGAATTCTAGGAATCTCCAATCAATGAATTCTAGGATCTCCAATGAATTCTAGGAATCTCCAATGAATTCTAGGAATCTCTAATCAATTCTAAACATCTCCAATAAATTCTAGGAATCTTCAATGAATTCTTGGAGCCTCCGATCAATTCTAGGAAGCTCCAATGAATTTTAAGAATCTCCGACGAATTCTAGAAATCTCCAATGAATTCTAGGAATCTTTAATCAATGAATTCTAGGAATCTCCAATGAATTCTAGGAATATTCTATGAATTCTAGGAATATCCAATGAATTCCAGGAATTTCCGATGAATTACAGAAATCTCCAATGAGTTCTAAGAATCTCCAATGAATTCTAGGAATCTCCGTTGAATTATATAATAAATTCTAGGAATATCCAATGAATTTTATGAATCTCCGATGAACTCTAGGAATCTCCTATGAATTCTAGGAATCTCCAATACATTCTAGGAACCTCCAATGAATTCTAGGAATCTCCAATACATTCTAGGAACCTCCAATGAATTCTAGAAAGCTCCAATTAATTCTAGGAATCTACAATGAATTCTAGGACATGTAAGAATCTTTGATGAATTCAGAATTATAGGAATCTGCGATAATTTGTAGAAATCTCCGATGAATTGTAGAAATCTCGATAAAATGCAAATGCTGAGGTCTCCGATGAAATGCAGAGGTCTCCTATAAAATGCTTAAGCTTCTGTTGAAATGCAGGGGTCTCCGATAAAATGCAGGGATCTCCGATTAAATGCAGGGGTTTTGGATGAAATGCAGGGGTGTCCGATAAAATACAGAGGTCTCCGATGAAATGCAGGTGCATCCGATTAAATGCAGAGGTCTCCAATGAAATGTAGGGGTCTCCGATGAAATGTTTGAGCTTCTGTTGAAATACAGAGGTCGCATTAATTGTTTTTTTGATAAAATTTAAGGATTATACAAGCATAGTTTAATATGGATTTTTTAGTGAAAATTCTTAAACTATTCAAGATCATTAGGTTGAAAACTTTAGATTATAAACATTTGAACTCTATGTGCTTTAATGTAAATATTTGCGTTTCTATTCTGTAAAATCTTCTCTTCAAGATCCGTACAGTTTTTTCACTTTCCCTTTTATGTTTGTCCATGGAAGAACTGTTTTTATTTTTGTAAAATAAAATTTATAAAATGACGTCATTGAATATTTTTTTCATTCCCTACAATTGAAGCAACTTTTCATTGCAGTATGGATCTATGTTACACGACACAGTAAATGTATATATACCCGTAAATTCTAACTATACAATAATTATTTGTTGTATTGTGTTAACTGTCTGTGCATTATTTTTTATCCTAGACCTCATTAGTTTTTTTATTCATCACACCCTTAAATTTATGAATAGTTTTTTATGTTGACCCATAAATTAAGAAAAAAAAATAGTTTTCTGTGTATAGTTGTCTTCTTATGCATGAGCATTAATTAACCTATAACTTGTAAAATAATTTTATTGAATAATTTTTAAAATTTTTAATTTGTCAGGAGGCCTTCAGTTGTTCGTCTTTCATCACAAGATAAGTTTGTAATTCGACCAACAGTACCAGAGCAACGGTTTATACAACGGCAATCTTCCACTGAACAAACTCATAGGAAACCATTTTTCCATTTCACGCACCTCTGCCCCTTTAGCTAAAGTAAATTCAACCTGTATGAAGCATAAAGTCTGACTGCGTCAACCTTGTTTCACCGGCTAGTCCTGTCCATAGAGCTAGGTACAGTACGAACTGGGACCGGAAAGGTTGACCCGGCTCGGAAATTCAAATGTACTACGGTTGCCCGTGATTTAGTATTTTGATGAATATTAAATGTTTACAGATTACAAGATGTCTCTGATAAACTGTGTTTAATCTTTCCCCAAATGAACGTCGTTCTAGATCGCTAAAAATTGCTTCCGATTGGGACAATGCCCATAAAAGGGGTGTGGAGGTCGTCGATGCATACAGTTTGCTTTCATATGCAGTTATAACCAACAAAGTAGGCCCCACTTTCGAAAATGTGCTCCATCTCTTTTCCAAAGATGTGTTAAATATTTTTCGCTTGTTGTTTTATTGTATACTTAAAGTGTTTTCAGTGGGTACAATGCACAAAACAGGGGGTACAATGCACAAAACAGGGGGTACAATGCACAAAACAGGGGTACAATGCACAAAACAGGGATACAATTCACAAAACAGGGATACAATGCACAAAACAGGGGTACACTGCACAAAACTGCAGGGGTACAATGCACAAAACAGGGATACAATGCACAAAACAGGGATACAATGCTCAAACAGGGGTACAATGCACAAAACAGGGGTACAATGCACAAAACAGGGGGTACAATGCACAAAACAGGGGTACAATGCGCAAACAGGGGTACAATGCACAAAACAGGGGTACAATGCTCAAAAGGGGGTACAATGCTCAAAACAGCGGGTACCATGCTCAAACAGGGGGTACATAGCTCAAAACAGCGGGTACAAAGCTCAAAACAGGGGGTACAATGCTTAAACAGGGGATACAATGCTCAACCAGGGGGGTACAATTCTTAAAACAGAGGGTACAATACTCAAAACAGGGGGTACAAAGCTCAAACAGGTGGGTACAATGCTTGAAACAGAGGGTACAAATTTTCGTTCGTATTTCGCAAAATTTCGCGGAAAATTCGAACACGAAGCGAAATCGCAAGAAAAAAAATTTGCGAAAAATATATTTGCGAATATAATTTCCGCGAACTTTTTTTAAATTCCTAATTTTTTCGCGAAATCTTGCATTTTTGCATTTCTTGTTTCGCGAAAATTTCGCATTTTTTCGGAAAACAGATTGAAGCAAAATTTCGCGAAAGAAGCAAAAAGTTTTCTTCAGCGAACTAAATTCGATATAATGCGAAAATATTTGCGAAAAAAAAATTATTTTCGCGTAACGATTTTTCCTTCATAGAAATAAAAAAGAAATATGAATTAAATTTTGTTGTTAAACACCTTTGGAAAAGAGACCGAGCACATTTTTGAATATGAGGCGCCTACTTTTGAAGGTTAAAATGGACTTTTAGAGCAAAATGTGTATAAATTGACAACCCTGCCTTAAATGACCATTGTACAATCGATAAACACTTTTTTAGTTAAAAAAAAAACAATTGTTCTGTCACATGTTCACAACCATGCTTCGATATACAGTCTAAAAAAGTTACAGTTATCTAAAGTGGGAAAAATAATATTTTGGTTTGTCAAGATCAACTTAAAGAAGGTTGAGTGGGATTTGGACCGGCCATCATGTTCAACTGTTTCTTGCGCTTTATGAATTCCAACCACACTATAAAGTTTTTTTTTATTAAACAGATGCATAAAATAAAACTACATTTTTCCTTGAAGACTTTAATAAAAATGGCACCTTGTAGAATGCTTCCTCAAAGACCACCGCCAATGCTAAGGGGCAACTCAACCGAGGCACGTTCATTACGAAGTTCGCCGGTTGCCCAGCGTCGGATATCTTATCAAAGATCGTCTTCAACAGCAATGCGCCGTTTGCCGCGTCAAGGCAGCACAGAGGTTCATCGTGTGCTACCCAACCCTAGAACTTTCCGCAGGTACGGAGAACAATCAGACTCTGAAAGACAATCGCTTATGGCGCTGGTTGACGAATATCAGTCTGCAGAAAGACGGATACCACAACAGCCTCTTCAAGAGACACCGGTTAGTAAAGGAGAAAAAAGAGTAAGATGGGGACGTGCCACATTTCAGCGCTCAACTTCACTGGAAACACCACCGGTGGATTTTTCCCGGCAGAGACTGATGTTAGTCCGCCAGGATTCAGTGGCAGGGTCGTCGTCTTTACCTGACAAACTAGAGGAGAGATCTAGTGATAATTCTTATAAATAATCACAATATTTATTTTTATTCGGATAAAATTTCTATTTTCAAAAAGAATATAATCTAATTATTGTCTTTGCATAAATTAATGTTGTGATCAGAAATAATTTCCAATATGAGATTATTTTATAATTACTTGATGCAAAATGAATTGTTATATATTTTTATTAAAAATTCAAATGTTCATTATTATACCATAAACCAACAATAGAAAAATATATCAAAATCATATTATGTTTAAAAGTAGCAACAAAGTGGTCATTGAATTTTGATTTTTCTCACAATTTTTTAAAGCAAAAATTGTTTTTCTTCAAAATTTTCATATCTGTAAGATAATAAATTTTGACCATGCAATGATGCAATTAGGAACAAATTAGCTGCCTTTAAAACAAATCTCCAATACTATAAAGTACCTCAAACAATTGACAAGTTCAACCCATATTTCAGGAAAAAGATTGTAAAAAATGCATATAAAGTTAGAGGCTCAGTATAAAAGTATAAAAATGCCTCTCAGCAACAATTGTTGAAAAGAAATGTTGACACATTTAAATAAATATCCAAGCAACAAAACCATTATAAAAGAATAAAAATATATTGTTTATTGTTCATATTTTAAAACTGTTGTTTTTATATTAAAGGGAGTGACTGATAAAGAAGGGGAAGTAATGATAAACCAGAGATAAGAGAGTTTGCAGAGATCGATTATCAGCTAAAATATGCGATATTTTCCACAGCATTTTCTATTGTGTACAAGTATGTTTCATGTTTATAATTGGAGTATTCCTTTTAAAAGTTGTAAAACTTAACCCCTGAGTAGGTATTTTAACAAGTGGCTGTGAGATGGCACTCTAAAAATTTATCGTAAAAGCGTAGCATGTCGTGCCGGGTCAACTTAGGCCTACGTAGCCCACCATGTGAAAGTAGATAAGTGTGATAAACAAAAGATCCTGGTTAAAAAGTCCAGTGAGTTTTAACTTACACCCTTTAAACGATTTTTTCGTATAATTGCTATCGCATACTTTTTTGTTGGAACATGTATTCTACATATTTAAGTATATTAAAGGTCGTCTGCTCTAATTTTGAATGAGAGATCTAACTATGACTGAAATTCTTCCGATACAGACAGACAGAATGTCCTTTTAGGATTTTATATAATACTAGTTTGGGATCTTAGCTTTGGCTGGAAGTAAAGTAAGTAGAGAGGGGGGATATTTGGGTAGGAGGGGGGGGGGTATATTTGTGGTAAGTGGTTGTTAGAGGAAGTGGATGAAAAGTAAACTATTCTAGAGTTTGCTTCGATTTTTATATTACAGTTCCTTAATCCTGAAAAGGAGTTCAATCCAAAGGTCGTCCTTTTTACTCGAAACTTAAAAAAATCTTTTCGCAATAATTGCAAGATTTTCGAGGCAAGATATGAAGCATTGAAGACTATACATTCAATTCAAAAATTGTCTTTTTAATAAGACGACCTTTTAATTGAAACGACCGAAATCCTAAGTACGTTCTTATAAATGTTCATTACATGGTGTGAAAGTACAAAAACATGAACAAAAAAGTTTGATCAAATCCTTGAGCAATTATATCTTCCTTTAAAGTGGAAACAAAAACTGGTCAAAATCTTCAACTGACTAAATAAATTTACTAATGTTTAAGATTTCTGAAATATGGCTGCAACTTTTATGATAACTTTTAAATTCTAAGTTAGACTTATCACTATAGTAACGTTTTATGATATGTTGTGAATAACAGATTTTAAAACATATTTTGGTTTTTCTGTGTTGTTATAATTGTTGGAGAATCTGCAAAAAAATGCGTTTTTTTGATTTACTAGATTAAAATGAGAAAATCTGCAAAAATAAGCAATAATTGATTTTGACTTGTTTTTTTTTAATGCTCTTCCTAAATAATCATGGTTCCATTATGTTTCCATACACTTTCCTAACTTAAAGCCAGTTCAGGATAAGTGTGTGAATGTCGTCTTCGAAAATAATCTTATTGGAATCAATGATTAAATGTTGGCCCACACATTAATTAAAATATCAGATAGGACACTAGATTTAGTCTTTTAAATATTTATGTGTGTTTCGTTCACAATAACCCTGGGACAGGAGCCCAAAGGAGTTACGCGAAGGCTGCGTAGAACAGGCTCTCTGTAGAATTAGAGGACAGGTCGAGTTCTATCTGTTATTTGAAATAATCTATGGCGCCCCACAGAACAGGTACTTTAGACATCACTGACGCGTACCGGCGCGTCTTACAAGCCAGAGCGTGTCGTTTGAATGTGCTCAATGCCGCAAAGTTTATGTAAAAATGTACAATGGACTGAAAGAAAGAAAATATTTGTTTTCCATAATTACTAAGACTAAGTTCAAGCCAAGATCCCGAAGAAAGTGCTGCACAGGCTTGCCACAGGGGCACATGCCCACAAGGGGGAAGCACCCCCAAGAGATGCATTTTCTGAAAACAACAAATTAAAAGAAGGAAACGGCAAGTGTAAGAATGCTAAAAAATTAGGGTTAAATTGCTTACCCAAAGTACGTATTACATGCTGGTAATTTTTGATTAATTTTGGTAAAAAAATCATATGGAGCTGAAGCATTTTAAAGTTATAGATCTTTATAAATGATCGATATTCAAAGAGAAAAAAAACTAAAGCTAGGTTTATAATTCTACAAAGTTAAATAACGAACCAAATGGTGATAGAGGGAAAGGAAATAGGAGGTCCTTTAAACATATCTCAATAAACATTAAATGGACAGTAAGCATAATTTCAAGAGACCCTTATTGCAAAGAGGGCAATACCCGATTTACAACGGTACCCTTTAAACCTTTGACTGTTTATCGAGTAGAGAGATCTTTCCATATCAAAACCCACTTTCGAATTCCTCTAAAAACTACTGTTTTACTTTAACAGCGTTTTCAAACATATAAAAGTAGATTTTTATTTTCTTCCACTTTTAGAAAGTAACTATTAATATTAATCAAATTTACGAGCTTTTGAACACAGCGTTGCCCAGGGGAGTCATTGTCATTCCCACTGGTTACCCGCCCTTTGTCGTAAATTTCGATTTTAGCTATTTTTCCCGTTTAAAGTGGGGTCCACAACTAAAAATCTTTAAACCAAGCTAAGAACATTCATTTGGGTCTCCCGAGTTCCCAAAGCAAAAGTTGATGCAAGTTATGATCGGACAAACAAACAAACAGAGAAACAGAGATTACAACTTTGTAACAGCTTACAAACAGAGAGTTAGAAATGAAAAGCGTTTCAATTATTAATAGGCATATGCCATACATCTTTGATCAGTCAAAGGTTTAAAGGGTACCGTTGTGAATCGGGTTTGTTCCTCATAAATGGAAAGTCGCTAGAAATGAATCTTACAGTCCCTTAAAGTTGATTCCCAAGCCCGGGATGAATTCTAAATTACCCGATTCTGCATTTGTTCAATATTCTATATTATAACTTTAAAAGCATCGTGCAAACCCTAGAAGAAAACAATCAAGTTTGTAAAGTTTACAAAATTCTAAAGCTTCCTTCTTTTGCTCGCTAAATTTATTTAAACTTTTCAACTATTGATGTTTTCACAGGAAACTCAAACTCTGATATCTTTGATGCGGTGAAACTTTAAAGTTGAGGTTTCACTGTATTTCATGATTAACGTTATATTTATTTTGTTTGTTTTTTTATTTTACGGGGAAAATACTGCTATAAAATTTAAAATTTAAATAGTTTTTATTGTAGGTAGGGATGGGCAATTTCCAGATTCGTTTTACAGAAACTTTTAATGTTCAATATGATGTAATCATCCCCAACCCCCTCCCCCTGCTCCAGCCGCCTTATCTAGATACTCTAGCTTTCCAAACACGATAAGGATGTGTTAATAAGACAGGATCACAGGATATAAAAGGATACCCCCAAAGTGGGGTAGCAATACTCTAGTAGTCTTCAAGGCACACACCAATAATAGAACAAAGTAGTTGAACATTTATATTAAAGAGAAAAAAAATGAAGGGAATAAATAACTAAAGTCAAAAGACACGGATTTGGCACTCAGTGATGGGTTACTCCTTTGGCCGGATACTCCTTGGCTAGATACCTTCAACATGGTATCTCCTTAGGGCTGCATATCTCCTCAGGGCTGCATATCTCCTCAGGCAACATATCTCCTCATGCAAATTATCCCCTCAGGCAAAATATCTCTTCTGGCACCATCTTTGTTCTAGTAACAAATCTCCTTCAGTATGTTGTTTTCCCACAACTCCACTCCTTCCAAGCAGTTTCTATTCCTTTGGACTGACTGCTTCTTACCACTGTGGGGAGTTGGCGAATGTCTTCATCCTCTCCGTGTGAGAGCTGTCGCACAACTAAACTTATTCTTTGTTAGGTCTCCTTTTATATCCTGTGATCCTGTCTTATCAACACTTCCTTATATCGTGTTTGGAAAGCTAGAGTATCTAGATAAGGCGGCTGGAGCAGGGGGAGGGGGTTGGGGATGGTTACATGCCCCCTTGGTTTTAATTCTGGTTGTATATGGCAAACCAGACATAAAACCACATAATACAATATGTTATTGATGTAAAACTTGAATCATACTAGAATATTGGCGTACCAAATCAAAATGCATTTACTTAAGCAATATTGATTAAATTACAGATGTCACCATGTTATATTTGGAAGGATACCCCCAAAAGGGGGGGGGGGTAACAATATTCTAGTAACCTTCAAGTCACACACCAATAATTGAACAAAGTAACAATGAGAAAGGTTCCAATATTTCAAAACTTTATTTTGTAGAAGTTTTCTTTTAAAACATGCAAATGTGTTAGTGTTACCCTAGAAGAAATTATAAGGCAAAAACGATCGTTTTAAAAAGAAGCTGGGGGGGCACATGAACAGAAAGGAAATCAAGTGAAGGAGGGGGGGGGCATGCACAGAAAGGAAAGGGAAGAGGGGGGGAGTCATGTACAGAGAGGAAAGTGAAGAGAGGGGGCATGTAAACAGTACGAGACGAATTGGGGGCATTAGAGAGGAAGGGGGCCGGCTATTTACCAAAGTAAAACCCTATAATTTTGACTTTTGATCTGGAGACATTTTTTGCCAATTAAATCGTCTAGCTCTAAAGAATAAATTAGAGCATAGAAACATTAAAAAATGTTTTTTCAACGTTTATTTATAATTGCATATTTTTACATTAGTTTAAACGAACTAATCCCAAGAAAGTTTTATTTTGGTCACCAAGAATATTCTTTTTATAATTAGTTGTAGAAATCCAAATCTAAAACAAAAAATTACTTGTATCGATATTAAAACTGTCCTCTGATTTTGTTCACAAAATATTTTATGACAAATTAAATGAAATAAAATTACATACGTACAGTCGTCGTTTGTATCAATAAATAATGAAGACGACTTTCGATTTCTAATTTTAATTTCTACCAAGCTTTCAAACAGCAAGGTTACACATAAACATTAAAACAAAGAGAAGATGCAGTAATCAACAGCTTCTCTTTGTATATTTGTAAACTTGTAATTTGTTAGAAATCAAAACTTAAATGAAAAAGGCGTCTTCATTGTATTTATGTAACCACTGACTACTGTAGATAGGGTTTCCAGGGAACGAAAACTTTTGTGAAAAAATGCGAAAATTTTCGTTCATATTTCGCAAACTTATTTGCGAAATTTCGCGAAAAAAAAATTCTGCGAAAACCATAAGTGTTGTAGCTGCAACAATTAACTGCACAAAAAAACTTGTGGAATTCTCTGTTCTGGAAGTTCAGCTTTAGAAGTTCAAGTTCTATTATATCAGAATTAATAATTTCTCTTCCTTTACTTTAATACATGTTTGATGACTTGAGATTTTGATCTATTCGTCTACCTTTCTGTCCGTCAACGTACGTTCAACCAAATCATGGACCCAACCATGAGCTGTAGCCAATTTTAGTTTTTTTCTAGAAATTTTTGCAAAAATACCATATTTTTTGGAAATCGAATTCCTCTTTTCACTGGAATCCCAACTGTAGGTCACGAGATATGTAGCGAAACAAACAAACAGTTAACAATTGAATAATGGATTAACAAAAAATGTAGACAAATTTCTTGGTTTCCTAAAAATATGTTTATAGATTTATCAGTTCTTGCTGAGTTGCAACCTAACGTATTGAAAGGCTATTATTTCACTGGATTTTACTTTTTATAGAGCTTTAAATAAAGTGTAAAGCAAAATAAAAATTAATTACTTGTTGGTTGGAACTCAAATATTGAACTGTTTCCGTATAACAGGTCTTCTTGTCCAAACCTGAAAATAGATAATTTGAATAATCTAAAAATATGCGATAAACCATTGTTAAAATTCTATATATATATATTTCCTGACTTTCCTTTATAAATCTGTAAATCTTTGTTTCTTTTCAAAATCGAATATGTATATATTCATAAATATATAATTTGTATAAGAAAGCAAAGATGATATAATATATTATTTCTATCTAATCCTAAAATTTCATAAAGATCGGATTCGGATGCTAAATGAAAAGCAAAAATTCCGCTAAATTGTTTGTAGTAAATTTCCAATCTTAGTTCTATTTTAATTGTTTCAGAGGCCGAATTTAAAGAATTTGAGCCTGGGCTTGAATTTGAGACGCGGCTCAAATATGGTTGGTTCCACTTAAAATTGTATTCAATGTTTCAAGATTTAAGCCGGCGCTCAATTGAAACCGGTTTTTGGCGGATTTAAACCGAGGCTCAAATTCATTGAATTTGGACTCAGGAAGACTTTTCAATGAATAGATTTATAGAATTAGAGCAGTGAAATGTTTCCAAAATAAGAAGAATGTTTTAAAAAATGTACAACCTTTAAATTTAAATAAAAATTGTGTAGGTTTTAAAAAAGTTTTGGAGACTGATTTGGTCTACCAGATCTTCATAAAATTTAAGGATTTGATAAAAATATTCTATTTTTAACGTTATATTTTTTTAAGTTGGATGAAAATAAATGTTAAATTTTTTCGGGGGGTCAGGTGAGTTACAAAAAAAAACTCTTTTTAACTAACCCTGTATTTTTTTTTTCATGTCTTCTCAACGTCGAGATCGTTTCAATTCTCAAAGGCACAAAAATAAAAATATATAGCAAAAATTAGATGTAAAGTATATATCCCTTAGATTAACCATTTTGGCGCAAAAAAAAATTTATTCAGAGGGTTTAATGATTTTTAAAATTCCACAGGAAACGATAGTTTCAAAAAACATTCTCTTTAATAAGTGTGTAATATCTTTAAATAAAATATTTTACCTGCTGTTCTTTTTATTCCTAATGTACAGCTAAAAATCTTGGATTGAGAATTGTTTAAACCTCTTGTTATCACGAGATTCAATTCTCCGGTTTCATTCTAACCAGCCATAAATCTCTTTTCTATACATAAAACATGTAGTGCTAGTAACACCTTGCAACATTTGTTTTTCTTGTAAATACTTTTATTGGATTGGTTTTCAAAATGTTAATCAAAAGATTTTTCCTTTTGTAATTCCCACTGTGTCTGAACGTAGATGGAGAACAGTCCTCCCGTCAAAATAGTTATCTTTGAACCATTCGATGAAAGACGAAAGTCGAGACCTTCCTGGTTTAAATAAAGCCAGTCACCAGTTAATTTCTTCAATTTATTTAAAAATGTTAGTCGCATTTAGAAATTTCATGTTGATCTGAAACAGTGCTTGTGCATGATTAGATACAGTGGTCGGCGTTTATCTCAATACAATGAAGACGACTTTTCTATTTTCAAATTTCTAAGACGATCGATGTGAAGCTTCTTATTGTTTCCAATTCCATGTTTATATTTGTATCCATGATGTTTGAAAGATATCAAAATTTAAATAGAAAGTCGCCTTCATTTTATTGCTTTATACGGCGATGACTGTATTACCTTCAACAAATAATTGCTTGGAGCTGCAGTAGACTTGATTGATTTCCAATATTTTATACACCCTTCTGAATAAAATTTGTTAGGAAGCTGATCAGTGATCGGACCGAAGTTTATAAAAGGGAGTGTTCGCGAAAAATGAAAGGGGGCTTTATCGATCTTTTTTACTCATACCTAAGAGCGCAGGATCCGAACAAATCCACGGAATTGCATTTTCCACTCAGAAAAAAATAGACGCGATGGATGTCAAATTCAAATCGACCTTACCCTTTAATAATTTAATGCGCATTTAGTTCTAAAATGGATTATTTTAAAATGTCGTCTTCAAGAAGTGAAATTACAAATATGAATATGATGTACCAACAACTAAAAACTCCCTTTCTTAAGTGAACAACTAAAAACTGAAAAAGTACGCATAGAACTTACACTATAAATGAAAGTGATAACAAAATAAATATTTAAAATTGTAGAAGATGATTTAAATGTTACCAGAATCCACCTCCAAGGTTTGAAGAAGGTTATAAAACTCTATTGATCTCACTGCACCTAAACAGATATACTTTACTTGACTACTTAATATTCACAACGAAAATTTGTTTAATAATAACAATAATAAAATAATAATAATAATATGTATGTATCTTAACCCTATTCAGGCTGAAATCTGGTTTACCCAAAAAAGTTCTATTTCCTTATTATTTCCTTATTGTTATAATTTATAATATTTGACATACTTTTGGAAAACCCTTGGGCTCTAAGCCTCAAAATTGTTATTGAAGTGTCAAGTTGTAAAGCAAAAAATGTGTAAAAACAAAAAGTGTGTTAAATATGATAAATTTTACATTTTTGAAAAGCCCTTACCCCGGCAAATTCAAATTTGCAAAAATATCTGCAAAATTTTCAAAGCTAAATTTGTCTTCAATAAAAAATTAAAATGTGCAAATTCTCTTTTTAAAGACATTTGTGTACAAATCTACGCAAAATTTCATTGCAAAAGTTACGCAATTTGCTTTGTTTAAGGCTTTCCAAAAAGTCAAAATCCAATGACCAGAACAAGGTCTAAATATAGATTTAGTAGCACAAAGGTAAAATAAGGCATTCAGGCAGTATATGCTTGAGGCCCTGCTTAAAGCCTAAAGTGAGGGGCATATCTTATTTACAAAAGTCAAACAATTTGAACAGCCTCAGACCAATAATTTAGTTGTTTTTAGAAAACAAAACTTAATTAAAAATGAGGTCTTATCCCTGTATGCAGAAAATGATATTGAATTAACATAAAAAAGTAAAGATAAGAATTAAGAATAGGTTTCAATCGAAATTTCGTTGCGCGGAATTGCACGGAAGTAATTTACCTCGAGTCTCAGAGGAAACTGAATACGATTGAATAGATTTTAAACTTCCAACTGCCATTTCTACAAAAAGCCAAACTTTATTACTTTTTAAAAAGTTTTACAAAACTCCGTTATCAAAATTAATATATTTCTTACGATCCCAAAAAGGATTGAGCTTTACTTTAAAATACATAGGAATCTCGTTGCAGAAAGTAAATAAATTTTGCCCACAACAATAAACAATTTCATTATATTGTATAAGTGTACCAGTGAACTGATTTTCTGGCCCAATCCCAATGGGATCGCAGATTAAACTCCAAACATTTACAACAATCAAGAAGAGAGTTTTGTACAATTCTATTATTTAATTCAATTTAGGTAAAAAAAAGAATAAAGTTTTAATTTGTATTTTCTGAAACTGAAAATTAGCCAATTTAAACAATTAGAATCGATGTATTATATTATAAATATTTGGATTCGCTGTGGCTTAACTAGCTCTTTTCTGAGGTGGGGGCGAAGTATAGTTTTTAAGGGTTGTGGAGGATGATACCTAGGGGGGGGGAGAAATTTTGTTTTTGCCCCCCCCCCTTACCCTCAATTCAAGGATCGACTATATTTGAAAATGTATCCCTATTATTATTCTATTTATTACTCTCTAAAGTCCTGAGTAGTCTGCAGAAAGAAAATCATTAATCACATGTCCTGTATATTAACCCCCACATCTCCTCCCCTAATTTTGTTCCATCGTGTCCCCCCCCTTTCACGGGGGTTGCGGGAAGATTTGCAGAACACTTGCACAGGCATATAGCTAAAATTGTTTATTAAAAAAGGGGGGGGGGGTTATTGGGATGCGATTTTAGATGATAGAGAAATAAAAAGGTTAAATTTTTAAATAATTCAATAACCTCGGTTGATGGTAAAGGTGATAAAGTCTTTCAGTTTTTGTTCGCCTTCCTTTAACCAAATTTAAACATAGAAAACAATTGTGAAAGTAAACAATGTCCTTGTAGTCTGTTTACGGTAAATTGCAACCTTTAACATTTTCTGTAATTGGTTACCTAACAATAAAACTGAACATATACTGGCTAAGTAAATGACATGTGTTTAATTCATATATTTTTTAAGTTTTAGGGATATGTTTCTGTTCGTTTGCAACCTGATGTCGTAGACCTTTGATATTTAAAACTTTAAATTCTGTCAGATCAAATAACCTAAGCTTGAAGTAATAAAGGCTTAAAACATCAGGTCGATAGGATGTAGGGATAAGAAAATTAAAGTTGGATGCAAGACCTCGGTTCCTGACACAAAACTTAAAAACCCCAAGAACAAAGAGCATGATGAAAAGCATAGTTTATATATATCACGCTATACCACGTTGACGGGTCAGTCCTTATCCAAGAGAAAGCTATGACTTTCGGATACAATTTGCCCTTAAACGTTTTTTTAACTTTTCCTCTTATATTTTTTTATCGACATATGCGTTTTAATCGAAAACAATTAATAAGACAACTTGGTAAGCTTAAATATTGTTAAAATAAAGAGCAATACTTGATTAAATTCAAATAGAAGAAACCGAAAATTCATCTCGCCCTGATTAGTCCGGAATGATAAATTGATTATTCCTTGGTAAGGGATTCATCTCTGGGAAAGTTAGAGTAAAGGTTGAAGGAGATTATAAAGAGTATAATCATCCAAACCCAGGTCAGCCCAAGAGAAAAGCAGAGAAACCTCAACACATTCTTATCCTAAATGATATTTTCTTTAGTAATATACTTCAACTGATGGGAATCTTGCTTGTTTAATTAACTTTTACTATATTGTCACTGTGATATGAATATTCTTCCTAAAACTTAAAGGTGTTCCAAAAACAACTCTTTAAGGTTCAGGTTTACCCACAAAGGATGAGACTTCAGAGACGATTGTACGGAATTCATACTGTATGTTTTCTTTTATTTATGATTCCCTGCAACTGTAAACTCGTTTTTTTTTCGTTGGAAAATCATTAAATAAGACTTTAAAAGACTAGATTTATTGCAGAAGACTTAATTCAACCTTGCCATAGTTTAGTAGTTTCATGTCGTCTTTACAGTCTTAATCTTTTTTAAACATGTTTATCATTAGTCGAAATAAAATGTTAAATGTTATTGAATATATTTATATCAAGGTTGTAATGCAAGGCAAGTTAATTGCAGTTGCGTATACTCTGCGTAAAATTGAAACCTATTCTCTCTGGGCGGAATTTGCAAACAAGAATAGATGCATCAGTGTTCGTTTAGTATTCGAGGAAGTTAAAAGCATTAAATTTTGATAATTTTGATAATTCACATAATAGTTTCCGATGACCAGAATATTTCATTAATTTCTAATGTGAAAGATGGATCCCATGTCAGGCTTCGACATCCGTCTTATGTTTACATTAGCGCCCAGAGACAGTACACTGCAGTACAAAAGATACCTGTTGAGTTTCAGTATTTTCAATATTCTGATATGGACCCCGAAATATCTTCATGCTGATTAACCAATCCTTAAATTTTACAGGAACTACATTTACAAGAAAAGTAAATTGAAAAAGAACATTTTCAGGAAAAATATCTGTAATAGTATTAATAGTAAAATATGTTTTAATCCCCGACTATTTGATCAAACTTTGATGGTTGGGGGGAGGGGGGGGGGGGCCTGATTTCTTCCCCCAATTTTGTGCATTTTTTTAACATATAAGATTGTGCAAATAAGCATATGTATAAGATTGTGTAAATAAGCATTTATTAACGTGGTACAATAAAGCATAAATAATTTGAAATCTGCATGAATACAAGGATCTACTTCATATTTTTTAGGAAATTTTGTGCATTTTTTGCGTATTAAAAAGATTGTGAAAAACAATACAAATACTTTTTTTTAACTCTTTTCTCTAATTATTTTGCCCGCCATATTCACTTTGAATAAACATATCTTCACTGTAAACTAGACAGATGGAGAAGGTCAAATTTATGCGACAATACTGGTACCACTTTGTGACCTCGTAGCTCCTCTAGTTTTGATTTTACGAATAAGTTTGAGAGAAAAATGTAATCCAGAAAAAAATTCAAAACTTTTTTTTCAATAACTCTTTAATAAGAGTGATTATGATTGCAAACATACAAGATTTCTATCTCAAATTTTAACTTTTGTTTGACGTTTCTTATTGTTATGTGCTGTCTTGTTGTATGTGCTATATTGTTGTTATCTGCTGTTTTCTTGTTATGTGTTGTCTTGTTGTTATGTTCTGTCTTGTTGTTATGTGCTATATTGTTGTTCTGTGCTGTTATGCTGTTTTGTGTTGTCTTGCTGGTATGTGCTGTCTTGTTGTTATTTNTCTGTCTTGGTGTTATGTGCTGTCTTGTTGGTATGTGCTTTCTTATTGTTATGGGCTATTAATTGATGTTATGGGTTGTCTTGTTATTATGTGCTAACTTGTTGTTATGTGCTGTCTTATTGTTATGGGCTAACTTGTTGTTATGTGCTGTATTGTTGTTATGTGCTGTATTGTTGTAATGTGCTGTATTGTTGTTATGTGCTGTATTGTTGTTATGTGCTGTATTACTGTTACGTGCTGTCTTGTTATGTACTGTCTTGTTGTTATGTGCTGTTCACACAAAATAAAAATAAGAACACTAACTAAGACGCAAAGCAGACTAGAATCAACAATCAATTTAATGATATAAGAAACAAACACCTGATAACTCTTATCTTAAATCTGTTCATTTACTTAGTTTTTAATCAAATACTAACCCTACTCTCTCTCATTAGAATTACATCATTATCGTCTCAATATATTTCGCCAAAAAACTTTTTTTTCAAAATTCAATTTTTTCCCAAAGTGTTCTTCCACGGGCAACGCTAGACACTTAGCAAGTTACACAGAAACTTTTCAGCAAAAAGAAGGTCATTTTAAAAAAGTTTCTTAAAAAAATAGTTCGTTCACTATCGTTTTTTTATAGTTTGTTCCAAAAAATCCAAAGGTTTCAGCACATGTAACTCGCACACTCCTAAAACAATCCGCCAATTTGATCTATCCGTTTAGTGATATTATATATGTAACTAGAAGATTGCAAAACCATGAAACAACTTGCAGATAGGATACTAAAAATGTTTGAGTAGTGGTTGATATTTTTTTATGAAGAGCTGTATTACATAGACAGAATTATTCCCAAATAATCATCAACATATTTGAGGGATCTAAAGACATTACCTCCTGTTTGACTGAAACACAGCTTGTTTTGTATTTGTTTTGAAAAAAATATACAACAATATTTTTACGTTACGCAGAAAGGAATAAATTTGAAGAAGCATTTCTGGAGTGATGAAGTTAATTTGCTTTGTTTTACTCTTTGATAAAATATCTTCTTTTAACAAATGTTTTATATTTAATTAAATCATAAATATAAAAATTTATTTGTATTAATTATCTGAATTATTGAATTATTTACTAGTGATATATCAACCTTTTTGAAATTAAGTCCAAAAAATCATATTTTGCTATTTTACGAATTATCATCTAGTTTTCAAAATTTATTATTTGGAATTTATCTTTTTTAGTAATCGTCATTTAAAAACAGGAACAACTAATAAACATGCCAAAATCTTTAAAATAAATAAAATTTGAAATTACGCATTTGCTTGTGATGTAATTTCTAAATTGTTTACAAAAAAACATTATTCATCAATTTTTTAACTATCCCTGAAAATCTTTGTTATTGAAAAACCGGGGTTTTTTCAACAAAAGATGCATTTTGTTAGTATATCTTTAACTTCGCCGAGTGGGGCTATTTTGAACAAAAAAAACTTAATCTGGAGACAATTATTAACTAAAATTGCAAGGTTCTGCGTTGACTAAAAAGATCTAAAAAGATAATAAGCGTACAACTTTTACTTACATATTCCTTTTGGAAACAAAAAATAAAAACATGTTTCATTATATTTGGTTAAAATATTAAACTCTATCCAATCGAAACACAGTGATAAAAAAAACTGATTTACTTAATCTATTTAATTAAAAAACTATTTTTCCAAAGTGTTTTATTCCACAGGCAAGGCCGGGCACTTGAGCATGTAATCAAATACAATATAATTCTAATAATACTTTTTAAATAGAGATTTTTTTGTCCCCAGGACATGATCGGGTTGTTACGATCAAATCTCGGAATTTTTTCTATTGCGAAAGTTTGGTGTAAGCATCTGTAAGCCCGGATTAGATACCCCCAGGTACCTATAGCTGGCAACCATAGACTCTCCCTGCTTGTCNCCAAATGTAAATGTGTCACACTCACACATTTTCATGTTATTTGATAGATAATGTAAACAAGCGAAAAATCTTAAAATTAGTTTTAAAATTGTATATGTATGAAAACTGATTAAATAAATTGTTTATCAGTGATTTTCTGCTTTTCTATTTTCACATCTAGTAAGGGTATCCTATACTGTTTAGTCTTGAATCTTAGACATACAGGGTTAAGCAAAAAAGATGAGACTTAAATGACAACCTGGAAATTTTTTATCCCTAGGAGGGGGGGAGATGGTGTATTCCGCCTCTCCCCCCCCCCTTGTGGTTTGTCTAAATAACTTTAAAACGGCTTGCATTAGAACGCTGAAACTTCTTGACTTTTTAACTCCATAAAGTTGTGAACAAGTTTTGGCAACATTTTTTTTAATGCAATGTAAGATGGAGGACAAACAAATGGGGGTAGATGTTTCAAAAAAATCAGAAATACTAAATAAATTTTTTATTAATAAAACTACAGGCGAATAAAATATATATTTGAAAAATCGATGTGGTAACATGTGTCACATGTTAATATTTGTCAAAATGAAAAATATTTTTTTTTGCAAAAATTTCAGACTAATTTCGCGAATGTCGCGAAAAAGTTTTAACGATCATTTTCGCGAAAATGAACTAAAATTTTCGGTTTTTTTCAGTTTTTCGTTAAAATATTTGCGAAAGAGATTAAACCAAATTTGGAAACCCTATTTTCAGATGAACAAGCACTCAAATGAGTCAAACCAATCATTCATAAATATTCTTTTGTATATTTTCCCTCACAAGTATTTTCTTTCTTTAATAGAAATAATAACATTTATTTTCTGTTTGTTAATGTTGAATAATAAATATATAATAACTATAACAACAAGAAAAAATACAAAGACTGTGTAACTAATCAATTTAATTGTATACTTAAATACATTTTTGTAAAGATGTCAACCTTTATTGGGCTTAATAAAAACTTTCCGTCGTTGTTTAGCAGATTTTTTTTAAATACAAAAGGAAAATTTTCTGAATTTTAAAAGTTTTCTTCATCTTTGTGAAAATGAGAGTTGGCGTGATCTGAATAAATAGTTAATATAAACGAGTACAAATTTCATTAGAAACTCACATCAAACTTATTAAATTTTAGCCCACTGTGATCAATGTTCACACAAATTGGATAATTCAAACCAATCCTCAGCCCACGATATAAAAACTTCGGCTCGAGTGGTAATTCCTGAAACCCGACTGTAAGATCCAATCTTCGACCCAACTCTGACGACAGCTTGTGTCACGTGATTGACAGCTGCAATATATCTGGCTCAACTTAAGGAGTTAGGCCCAATGAAAATAAAACCGACCTTGGTTGGTTTTAGTGGCGAATAAGGCTCAAGGTTGAGTCTTGTTCTCATAAAAATCCGGAATGCACCAATTCTTACCATGAAAATCCGCCAAATAGAATATTAAACCTAAACCGGTTTTTTGAACTCAACTCTGTGGAAAATAAGATGCAGCTTGAATCCGAAAGCTAGCCGTAAATAAGGCCCATCGACCGCATTAGGCCTGAGCCGTATTTTCCCAAATTTTTTTAATCGCGGGCTCTGGTGATATTAAAACACTTTTATAATATGTCTTTTTGTAAACATTGTAGAGTAGTTATATATATTTTTATACAATCAACTTTAAATTAAGACCGAACTAATTAACTAGAGGAAATGTTCTTCAAAAGTTCATTCAAACTTTAAGAGAAACAAATTACAATGAATAAGTTTTAACAAAATATTTTTATTTCTGAACTTTGATTGGTACATGCATGTTTAATAAATACTCTATAGTGCAACTCTTAACCCTATCTCTCAATCTCACCTATCGTTTTTTGCGATAACTCTAAAAGTATTTGAGCTAGGAAGCTCAAATTTTCTGAATTTTCTACCTAATACATGCCCATCACTTAAGCTGGGCTTTTATACCTACTGCCTGAGTCTTCCAGGCATACTGCATAAGCCTTATTCACTAAATCTATATTTAAACCTACTTCCAGTCATTGGATTTCAAGATAGTTAAGCTCTCGTTCTCAACTCCCTGGCCAAAACAGCTGATTCCTTTCAGTTTTTTCAATTTGCCAAGTGAAGAGGAGCTAACGCTGAATTTGAACTTTATTTTTTGTGAGTATTATTACGTGTTCATGATGGATTCTGGAAGATTGTTTCTGCTCAATCGCACCTTACCGTTTTAGTTTTGGCGAGTGCAGCCTTTCTTTCAGTTTTCTTTCTTTTTTCAAAATCTTTCAAAATCTTCCAAAATCCACAATGAAACCGTGAGCTGCCCCCATAGTATTTTAAACTAGCATTGTTACTGTAGAGATCGTAGATTGAGATAATTCATATTTTATGCGTAATGTCCTCTAAAACTAAAAAAAAATGTAGCAAAAAATCTCCCTGTTTTGATATAAATAATGGAAGGTATAAAAAGTTTTCCAATTCACGTCAAGCTTAAAAGATTTATTGATGAAAAAACTTTGACTTTCTAATTCTATTTCATTCTCAATCTAATTCTAAATTTTTTTTTATTTATAAGTTAACTAGGATCTCTTTGTACAATATAATACAATAACAAAAATGTTCGCGGAAATAATCATATTTTCGTGGATTTTTTAAATTTTATAAAAATAAAAAAATGTAATTCTGAGCATCCATAAACATTCCATGAGGTCATGTGAGTTCCCAAACGGTTACAAACTAACAGACAAGCCAAGTTTTAATATATTGAAAAATGTCTGTATAAGCCTGGAAGTATGTATATAAACGTTAATTATCCTAATGCAGCATGGCAATTCTTTCCTCTCCAATTACCTTTCTTCACATCTTAAATCACTCTTCTCCCCCCGGGAGTACATCTGCTAATTCTCAATGGGAGCTTGGACAAAATTTAAGGAATTGTTCTTCTTAGGATCCGACATGATATAATTTGTTTCATTTAGAAAACACTTATATTAAATTAAAAAACATTAATTTAAAAATTACAAAATATGCTAGTACACAACAAAGTATTTGCATGGTTAAGCCACAAACTCTGATGTTCTATAAATCAATATATCTTTTCAACCCAATGTTGTAGACCTTAGATATTTCAAACTATAAATTCTGTTAGATCCAAATATTGTTTGGAATATCACAGGTTTACACTAGCAGTGGCCGAATTTAAAGAATTTGAGCCGCGGTTTAAATATGGTTGGTTCCACTTAAAATTGTATCAAATGTTTCAAGATTTAAACCGGCGCTTAATTTAAACCGGGTTTTGGCGGATTTAAACCGCGGCTTAAATTCTTTAAATTCCATTTATTATAGGGATTGAAAAATTTAAGTTTGTGACAAAGATTCAATTTCTTAGATTGTTAGTTCTGAACTGAAAACTATTATTTATTGTAAGTGAAAGTTCAAGTAGTCCCTGATGCAAAAATAGCAGCGTCCAACTCACAACGGTGCCCTAAAATGCTTTTTCTTTTACAGTATAAATTACTAGGCTTTTCGGGCGCTTTACGTCCATCTTATATTACAACTTTTAATTGTGGCATTATCTCTGATATTTATTCGCGCATTTTCAAAATTTTACAAAAATGAAAAATATTAAACACAATTTTTTAAAATTTTAATTCATAAACCTTTCCTGGAGTTACGTGAGGTCCCACACAAAATTTCGGCCCGATCGGTTAAGGCGTTTTCACGTTTATTGGATGCAAACAAACAGACACCAACCTAAACAGACAAACAAACAAACAGACACCCAGAAAAGCTAAATTTATGTATAGATATATCATTGTTTATATTTTAATTGTGGGTTTTCTAAAATATTTGCTTGTGCCATTTTATTGCAGAAAAACATAGAAATGATCAGATTATAAAATTTATCAAGTGAAACACTATCTTCCACATTATTAGATAATGAGTTCAAGGGTATTGTTGTGATTCGGGAATTGCCATCTTTGTCTGGATGGTGGCTTAAAATTACTTTAATGCATGGTCTGTAGACTATAAAAATAAAATAATCAATAAAGGAACTGATAAAATAACATAAAAAAGTTTGTTTTAATCAAATAATCTAAGGTTGAAAAGATTTAGGGATGAGAAAATGTTATTTTGTGGCAACGGCTTCATTCCTTTGATTCTAAAATTTCACCAAAAAGGATAGGCCGCAGAAAACGAAAAATATAACAAAAATGCTACTGCTAACTGATCGTTGTTTAGGAACAAGTTAAGAAAATAAAATTAACTCTTATCCTCGAAGAAAAGTAATTTCATTCAGGTATCGGTTTCCATGTAATATTTGAGTGTTCACAAACATTTTCCGTAGATTTACAGAATTTTTATTGAAAAGACGTAATTTGAAGAAATTAAAGAAATATGCAACAAAGGAATTGAGTCTTTGCCACAAACTAAAATTTTCCTATCGTTATAACTTAGCAACCCAATGTCGCAGACCTTAGATATTTCAAACTATGAACTCTGGTAGATCAAATAATTTGAGTTTGAAATATTAAAGTTTTACACTAACCAGTTGCAGAGATATTGGTTTCAGAAAATCTGAGTTTGTGACAAAAACTCAGTTCCTTTATAAAGAACTAGCTATAAAAGTACTCGGCATTACCTGTGAAATTTTATCCATGGGTTTCCTCAAAAATTGCCAGTATATTGAACGGTTAGTTATGTTAACGCCGTTAATAAAATGGAGATCGTTAACTATAAACGATAACTTTAAAAACGAAATGAACTTTCTGTTACCTAACTAACGGCTACCTGATTTTTTAATGGTTTGGGCTTTCATATGAATATGAACGAAGAGCTTGAATATATAAATAAATCAAATTTAAAATAATGACAGTTTATTGTCGAATTTTGGAACATTTTTCGTCCGGGTTAAATAATTGTAAAAAATGTTTCAATTCTGCGATTTTTAGCTGCAGGTAATTTAAGATTTTTCTAATCATTTGTTATGTTAATTCGACTTATATTATCCTAGTTAATTCTATTAAAGGTTTCCCTGTTATCATACTTTTACCTTATTTATCAATACTAAAAGAAAAGCTTGAAGCTCTGGATCAAGTCCCACCTTTGAAATCCTGATATGGGAAACTACAGACAAAATTAATGGTTTCACGTTTACACAAATAAAGAGAAAATATTTTTTGATTTTGGAACTCAATCACAACAACAAGAAAACATTTGTCTTTTGTAAATAGATAATTTTAGAACCCACATGATTAGAGAAGACCTAAAAACTAAATGGTATTTGATAATTTAAAGGCCAGCAATGCGAACCATATTTTCTAAAATATTGATATTTTAGTGTAATAAATTTTATAATTGTAATTGGACACAGGATATTTTTCAGAAAGTGTATTAAATTTCATAATTGTAATTTGACACAGGAACAGGAAAGTCCAGGAAATTCATATCAGTTCAGCCAAGGCCCGTGGTCCAAAAGTCCTAGAATTGTGACCTTGATCCTCACTTCAACAGGAAAGTGTCTTTTTTCTCACAACCTTACCTGTAGACACACTAAGGCCTCTTGCAGCCACTTCTGGGACTTTTGGACCAATAACCCTAAGCTTGGTTCTTGATCTTGAAGGACAAAATATAAAGCCACTAGATAAGTTAGACTTGATATCTCATATTCCGTCTTTACGATATCAGTGGGTTTCAGCTGAAATTGAAACTAGGAATTTAGCTCTGTGCTAGCAAAGTCCATTAGGGAGGGGATGCAACGCATCCATGAGCCCTGTAAACTGACCTCCAGACTCCGGAGCCTCCTGATTTGCAGAATGGCCTCCTAGTCAATAAAAATTGTCTCCAAGCCTCATGCTATGTCTGCCAGGCTAACCAATTCTCTGTCTTCACGTTCAGCAATAATTTTTTGTTTTTCTAAATTTTAAAAATTCCTATACTTGTGCATAACTATTGCAGCTTTATATATATATATGGACAAATTTTACATCATTTCACAGGTGTATCATGTACAAATTCACATAATAACATTATACTTACTTACTTATCCTCTTCGCCAGTCTTGGCATTAGGCCAATTCCACAGTAGCTCTTCACTTATTTCTGTCCCTTACCAACAGCTTGGCTTCACCTCAGCTCATTCCAAGGGTCTTCAGCTCATCCTCCACATTTCTTCGCCAAGTTGTTCTTGGCCTCTTTCTCCTCCCCTAGTGGGTCCATCTCAGTGCAATTTTTGGGATCCTAATCTGCTCCATGCATAGGTATATGTCCCAACCAGCCTCATTCTATTGACTGGTCTGGAACCGGTTCTCTCCCAGAGCTCCTTATTTGTAATTGGGTTTAGCCAAATATTTTGAGGATTCTTTGGAGGCAGTTACATTGCATGTCTAATTCCCACCCAGCTCTTTAGTGATCTTATAGACTTATATACTGTTCCCATTTCACCTCTTCTTGCTGCCTCCTCCATCTGCTCAGCCCTTCCTTCAATGTAACTTTCGATATTTGAATATGCACTCGATTTAACTTCTTAGTTCTTCGCTGTATATTCTTAGCTTATTCTTTTCTTAATCCTCTCAGACCGTGATTGGTTTGTTTCTCCTTCCATTCCCTCCATTATTCAATTTTTTCCAGGTGTTATTGGAGATCCATTCTTTTTTCCCTTTCTTTTCACTTTTTCTGCTGCCACAGATAAGACTGATTTGATGTTGTTCCACAAGGTTTGGATGTTCTCCTCCTCCAAACCTTCTTCCCTCTCCTTTTCAATCTCTCCAGTACATGGAATCTGTTTGTCAGCTCCAGTACAAACTCTTTCTTGACTCTTGCATTGTTTAACTTTCCAACATCAAATAGTCTGTTTCTCTCATTGCTGCTTGGTTTAATTGCTTTCCTCAGCTTGAGTTTGATCTTGGTAACTACAAGAGGGTGTTCGCTGGCTACATCTGCTCCTCTATGAACTTTAACATCTTGCATTGATCCTCTCTTTTTCCGCTTTATCATTAGTTGATCTATCTGGTTGGATGTTCTACCATTGGGTGAGATCCAAGTTAGTTTGTGTATACTTTTATGTGGGAATTGTGTACCACCAATAACAAGGTTGTGGTTTAAATAGAGGTCTAATAGCTTTTCTCTATTCATATTTCTTTCTTCAATCCCTTTAGTGCAGATTGCTTGCTCCCTCCCCTCTCTATCTGTGCCAACTTTGGCATTAAGGTCACCTGTCACCAATAGAATATAATTTCCAGGAGTCTTTTTGATGGATCCCTGAAGCATATTGTAAAATTCATCCTTAACCTCAGCATCTGCCTCATTAGCTAGAGCAAAGCACTGTCTGATGGTAAGTTTACAGTGTTAGCTGGATTCAAATCTTGCACTCAGCAAAACATTATAGTTTTTGTGAAATACTTGAATTATGAAATACAAAGCACAAATTTAAGTATTTCTCAATAACTATTCTGTTTTGTAAATTAATGATAGTGTCGTAAGATTTTTTACATAAAGTTGCAATAATTATTATGCACAATTTTAGGAATTTGTGAAATTTAGAAAAACAAAATAAGATGTTTTAATCTCAAAAGAAGTAGAATTGTCAACACAAATTGTGCATATACCATTAAAACTTTATGTTCATTTTGAGATTTTTCAAAAAAAAAGGTATTTGGTGGATTTAAAGCCAAATATTTGTTATTGTATATCGGATTGCTGTACGTGAAGACAGAGTTGGGGATCCTGGCAGACGTAGGGCGGCCCTATAAAAATTGTTCAGAGGTGCACTTTTTCTTTTGAATAGATATATATGAAACTAAGAAAAATCCAAAATATTTTTTATTTTTGACTATTTTTTCCGGTGCCGTCGGAAAAAACGTGATTTTTTGGCCATTTTTGAACTTTATTGATTTTATTTCTTAAAACTTTTATAAAATCCCAAGTTTTTGACTGAGAATATTGTTTTATATCATTTTGGAAATCCCAGATAATGGTCTAAAAGATAAAACCAAGTTATACTGAATAATTTGAAAAATCATAGTTTTATAAGCAGTTTTAGCCCCAAAATCATCGATTTTATTGATGCGCACTTGCAGCTCACTAACATACCCTGAGAACTGAACAAAAAAATTAACTCTTATTTTCATTTTCTATATTTTATACTTATTCCATTACTTTTTGAAATACCCTCAAAAATGGTCGATTAATGAGTAGTTCAAAAAACTCCGTTTTATTGAGTTTTTTGAAAAATAATCTGGTTTTTTACTATACAATATCCTTGTCAAAACACTCGCTGACATATATTACAACATTTTTTTAGTTTTCACTTTCTATTTGATATATTCTATGCTTAATGATTTAGACAACTTAAGAAATCTATAAATCTATAACTTAAGAAATCTATAAATCTATAAAGTGATATGTTATTCAAGAAAAGTGATTTTCCTCCACTTCAATGACATTTATTGAAATACTTGTAGAATCGTCAATTTTTAACTTCTGCAGGTCAAGGTTGGGCACAATTTAATATCAAATTATTTTGCATTTTTGCTTTCAGCCTATACCCCCTTTTATTTTTCCTTTACAGTCCCTGTAAGATTAAGGTTGGACACAATTTAAAGAGCCTAAATATCAAGCTATAAGTTAAACATGATTAATGGAACAAAAAATTATATTACATTTTATTCATCTCAGCATTGCACGATTTTCTTGATTGTCATTCAAAAATATTTAATTTTTGAAAGTATTTAATTTTTGAAAGTATTTCTGTGCACAACAATAAAAAGAGATCCTCTGGAACACAATAAAACAGACAAAATTTGGATTTGAAACTGCTGTTTCATCTCTGTGATGGACCATACGTATCAGACAATGAGGAGGATTTCTTGTTGCTGCATATATTCTTAACAGTCTGGAGAACTGGTTCAGCCATCTGGCATTAGAATGTGGGCCAGGTTTATTCTTTTCTAAGTCAGTAGAAATATTTCCACAGCTGCAAACCTTTGAATGGGATATCCTTAATCCCTGTCATTTAATTAATCTGGAGATTAATAACAAGAGGAGAACAAGCATTATTTAATCTCGAGATAAAGAGTGGATTAGCATTAATCCCGATATCCAGAAATCAAAAGTTCCCAGCTCAGATATAATCCCATTTGCATGCATATGAGATAAAGATATCTCTGGTACTGTACAGAGCTTCAGTATGAAGTCATCAGGTACATTGGGGAACTGTTCGCTTGTCATAGGGAAAAAAGGAACAATTTTCGTAGATTCAATTGACATAACTGTTCTCCAATCAGTCCTTTTCTTGAGAATGGCCCTGATTTTTCGCCATATGAAGCTTATCAGGAGTTTTCTTGTTGCAAGTTCACAGAAATGTAGAAAACAAAATCCAAATTTTGTGTTTTATTGTGTTTTAAACGATCTCTTTTGATTGTTGTGAACAAAAATATTTTCAAAAATGAAATATTTTTCCATGACAATTGAGAAAAACGTGTAATGCTATGAGATAAAAAAAAATGCCAAACAATTTTTTGTTCCATTGATATTAAATTGTGTCCAATCTTGACCTGCAGAAGTTAAAAATTGACGATTCTACAAAGATTTCAATAAATGTCATTGAAGTGGAGGAAAATCACTTTTCTATAATAACATATCACTTCAAAATGTTTATAGATTTCTTAACTTGTTTAAACCTGTTTCGCTACTTAGCGATTTCCCTAAAGACCTAATATATATACCATGTGGCATGTCTCAGGACCGGATCGTAAGACTCCCTTCTCTCAACGCTCTTCATAACAAAAGGATGATA